GTGGCGCATGACTGTAATCTTAGCAACCTGGGAAGCTGAGGCAGGAGAATCACTTGAACCTGGGAGTCAGAGTCTGTAGTGAGCTGAGATCAAGACATTGCACTCCAGCCTGGGCAATGAGAGCGAGACTCCATCTCAAAAAAAAAAAGAAAGAAAGAAAAAATAAAAGAAAATTCTATTTTGCTGTTGCTGAAAATTCCTTGTCTTCTCTGTGTTCCTAGTTGACTTGGGCAGCTGATTATTTTGTAATAGATGCTAAAGCCAACATCACATATGCTTTGTCTTTTAGTCAATGTTTCTCCGTCTTGGACATCATTGATCTGCCATGTACCTAAGCCCCCTTCCCTATAATTCAGAGCAAGTCTCCTCTCACAGAGATGCATGGAAGTAACAGTGATAACAGAGCAGCCCCCTTCCCTATAATTCAGAGCAAGTCTCCTCTCACAGAGATGCATGGAACTAACAGTGATAACAGAGCAGCCCCCTTCCCTATAATTCAGAGCAAGTCTCCTCTCACAGAGATGCATGGAAGTAACAGTGATAACAGAGCAGCCCCCTTCCCTGTAATTCAGAGCAAGTCTCCTCTCACAGAGATGCATGGAAGTAACAGTGATAACAGAGCAGCCCCCTTCCCTGTAATTCAGAGCAAGTCTCCTCTCACAGAGATGCATGGAAGTAACAGTGATACCAGAGCAGCCCCCTTCCCTGTAATTCAGAGCAAGTCTCCTCTCACAGAGATGCATGGAAGTAACAGTGATAACAGAGCAGCCCCCTTCCCTGTAATTCAGAGCAAGTCTCCTCTCACAGAGATGCATGGAAATAACAGTGATAACAGAGCAGCCCCCTTCCCTGTAATTCAGAGCAAGTCTCCTCTCACAGAGATGCATGGAAGTAACAGTGATAACAGAGCAGCCCCCTTCCCTGTAATTCAGAGCAAGTCTCCTCTCACAGAGATGCATGGAACTAACAGTGATAACAGAGCAGTTCCTATGTTTGTCTTTTCACAGGAAATTGTCTTCAGCCTATGAATCAAAAAGAACATTTTAACATGCTTTTTTCTCTTGCCCACCTTCTCACCTCTAGCCCACCCCTGCTGAAACAACGGCTGTCTTTCTGTCTGGTCTTGTTAACCCTTGGCTGAGAAAGCAAATTTTTCTATGTGATTGATATCTTGAATATAAATCTAGAGTTTTGTCTTCACAGCCTGACAGGAATAAATAAAAAGACAAATTGTAGGTGTGTTGGTTGTCACAGCAGGGGTGCCTATCATGGCATCAGCTTTCTTGTCCACAAATGTGTGAACTGCCTGAAAGGCCAAGGTAATTGAAAGGCAAGCATAAACCTGTCTGTTTTCTCAGATATTAACGGAAATTGCCTCCTACTGAGGTCACTTTTCTGGCTTAGTGTTTTGAGAAAGAAACAGGCCATTCTGTTTCTAACCCAAGTATTGAGTACACTTTAGTCCATCAAGGGGGAAGAATCTCAGTGGACTGGTGTGGCTTCTCAGTTCTACCAATCCCATACTAAGAATGGCCCTCTTTCTTTTTCTCTTTCTCTCCTGTCTCTGTCTCTTTCTCCTGCCTCCCCTTTTCTTTTCTTTTTTCTTTTCTCTTCTCTGTCTACCCCCTCTACTTCAGAGAGAGAGAGAGAGAAAAAGAAGCACTGGATATAGTGAACACTCACTTCATCTTGTGTCCAAAGTATGCAGTATCTTAGTTTATCTTCAAGTGTGTGATGATGACCACTTCCACTAGATATTATGCTGGTCTCCAAATAATCCAAATGCCTGTGGTGGGTGAGTGTATGTATAAGAAATGTGAATAGGAACATAAAGAAAATATAGAAAAATGATAAACCATGGTGCCATAGTTTGACTGTGTCTCCCAAAGTTCATGTGTTGGAAATTTAACCTCCAATGCAGCAGTGTTGGGAGGCAGGGCCTCATAAGAAGAGATTAGGACATGAGGGCTCTGCTTCTATGAATGGATTGTGTTGTTATAACAGGAGTGGGTTAGTTATCATGAGGGTGCTTTTGTTTTGATAAAAGCAAGTTCAGCCCTGGCTCCATCTTGCTCTTTCACTCTTGTACTCCTGCCCTTCCACCTTCCGCCATAGGACAATGCAGCTTGAAGGACCCGCCAGATGCCAGCACCATGCTCACCCATCTTTCAGAACCAGGAGCCAAATAAATTTCTGATCATTATAAATTACCCAGTTGGTGATATTCTAATAGCATAAAACAGACTAAGAAGGGGTTCAAAAATATTAATACACATACCTTGACCAAAAGAAAAAGTGATTAATAATTGGCCACAGAAGTGGGCACATAATAAGCTGGGCAAAGAAATGGAAACATACCAGGGAATGTGCGAATGCTGTACAAACCAGCTGCTCAGGACTTGCAGCTCTGAACAGTTACACAACTGGATGGTTTACAAATTTCATGTGAAGCTGAGATTAGCCATGATCTGCCCAGCAAAGAGGGGAACCCTCAGTCAAATTAGCCATTACCTGGCTAGTTGCTAGGTAACCCAAAGTTCCGGGGGTCAGTTGTCAGATTTCCTGCTTGCCACTCTACCTCCCCAACATACCCCACCTATATACCAAGAACCCTCCTTCTCTTTCAAGGTGATTACAGGTGGTCCTGTACTAGGAAGGAGGTTTACATTCAACAATTTGAATAGGGCTCATTAAATCTCAGGGCAGAGATAAGCAGCATTTCTGTCATCAATTAGGAAATACATGAGATGTCAAAGGAGGGCACTTCTCAAAGTGATTAGGAAACATTCCCAGGCAACTTCTCTGCCCAAGTATCTTGTAGCATCCTTCTGAGTGGTAAGCAATGATCTGTGGGATGTGTCTTAGCCTCCAAGTAGCTCCCTGAAGCTAGTGATGGTTAATGCACCAGCCAATTTCCTTCTCTCTGTCTGTTCCTTCTGAGGCCCAAATGACTTTAATTTCAGCGATGCTTTCTGCCATCTGCCTTCTCCAAGGCTATATCCCCTTCTAGCCCAGATGACCCTCACCTGATCTGAGGCACAGAGAAGGGCAGGCAGGTAGAATTTTCACACTCTTTATTCTTTTTCCATTTTTTTTTTTTTTGGTTGTATTAAATTGTTCCCTTAGCTTTCCTCAAAGCCTCTCTATAGGTATTCAATAACTTATTTTGGAAGTTTCAAAACGTTTTTTAAAACTTAATCTTAAAAATGACTTTCTCCTTGCTGACCTGCTGCGACAATCCTAAATCTCCACAGGCAATTGTGAATGCCTCTGTTGGACTAGAGGAAAAGTCAGCACAAGAAATGTTCAGAAAACAAAAGGAGGCAAAAAACACAGTATTTCAAGACAACACCTCTTCCCAGCCACATTCACTGCTCCTCTCCTCCAACAATTCATTAGTCCTTGACTTCTCCTTCAGTTATTCTGCCAAATTTCCCTTCTCAATCTCTTAGTTACATTCACTCATTTCTCTTTTTTTCAGACCTCAATCTCTGATATTATTTGATAATGCTGACCATATCCTCTGCATTACTTAAGAAGGGGGCATAATGACACACAAGCAGTAGGAATCTCACTCCATACTAGCTTAAGCTAAGAGGAGAAATTTTGGAAGGATACTGAGGTATTTCCTCCCAAATAAATTACTTGTTCAGCCTTTTGTCTCAGGGTCTGCATTTTCAAATGTGTCCTCCCATCCAGGGTAGAAATGAACTCTTATAACCTCTAACAAATGCAGTTGCGATGTCTGAATGTCATTGTTTTTCACTAATTGAAACCTGCCTCCTTGTAGCTTCAACATATTATATCTGCATCTTCCCTTAAGGTACACTTTGATATAAAAAGCTAGATCCAGATCAGACATAAAACTTCAGGCAAGAACACATTAACCATTCATCATGAAAACCTTCTCTAAAATGAAACAATTTTGAAGAATAGTATCTTTAATGAGTTTTCTAATCCTTATCATCTAACGTTCAGAAATATATTTACAGGGTCAGAACAATACAGAGAAAGTGTTTGTATAATAAAGCATATTTTACATTTCATTTAAGCTCTCTCATTTTTCCTCCCACACCTGCTTTTTTTGTTGTTGTTTTGATGAAAGAGAAATAAGGAATAAATAGAAGATCAATGCTTCAAACCAATCTACCTGTGTACTCCCTGAAACCTTTAGGACTGAAGTATTAGTATCACTTATACTGAAGTGTAAGTAATCCACATCAGGGAAAACTCTTCTCAAATGCACAATCACACATACCTCAGGCAGGAACTGATGGTCTTTCAAAAGAAAAAAGAATAGGGGCGAACTTCCGGTCCTGTGTTTGACACATACTAGAGAAAAGAGAAAAGCCCTAAAGAGAAGACTAAATTGTATGTTCTCAGATAAGACGCCCCTGTGACCACAGCATAATGAATTCTGCTCTGACATTTTAGTGGTTCAATCTCCTGACATGAATAAATATTCCAGTCAGGCGTGCTGGTTCACAACCTGTAATCAAAGCACTTTGGGAGGCCAAGGCATGCAGATCACCTGAGGTCAGGAGTTGGAGAACAGCCTGGCCAACATAGTGAAACCCCATCTCTACTAAAACTGCCAGGCGTGGTGGCAGGTGCCTATAATCCCAGCTACTCAGGAGGCTGAGGCATGAGAATCGCTTGAACCTGCGAGGTGAAGGTTGCAGTGAGAGGATATTGTGCCACTGCACTCCAGCCTGAGCAACAGAGTGAAACTCTGTCAAGAAAAAAAAAGGGATTCCTATCCGTGGTGGTTGACTCAATAGGGTGAAGTGTGAGATTACTACTAAGGACAGAAATAATTTATATCTTGTCTTTTTTGTTCAACGTCTTCTTTGTATTTGGTTTCATTGAGGAAAACCAACCTCTTTAACCAGGAGATTATGTTCTTTCTGTTTTCCTGGTCATTATGTAGAGTGTGTTCTGACCCATGGGCTGTGTCAATCATACTTAATAAAATGAGAGGCCTAAATGGAACCTTCAAGTTTCTCTAGCACAATCCTTTAATTTTGCAGATTTTAAAAAACCAAGGCCCGGAGAAGGTAAAATGCTTTTCAAGAACATGCAGCCAGCCTGTGCAAAGGCTCATGAATAGTCTTCATCCTGACTCACACTAAAAAGGAGATAAAAGATTAACTCGATTCAGATTTGGGAGAACAAAGGGTTGTCTTTATGCAGATGGCTGGGATTTGAGGAGGAAAGTAAACTCTGGAGAAAAAGGAAAAGCTGTCCAGTGCCCAGGTGTGCAGATGTTTTCACTCAGCCCCAGCTGCCTGCTGGATTCCAAGCAAGCTGACTAGGGCCTCAGGAGCCTACTGGGTTGGCACAGCACAAGGCTTTATGCTGATGACGGAGATGCTCCGCCCTGTGCATCTCAGAGCGCCCACCTCACACTCAGACATCGTCTGCTCCTTGCCGTTCATTTCCACACAGATGCTAAACCCTTCTTCTTCGCACTCCGATGCTTCTCGGCAGACACATTTGCTGCTCTCAGCTGGAAAAGTAAGTGAAAGAGGCTTAACAGTACATTGCGGAGGTGGGGGAGTCAAAGCACATCACCTCCAAAGTGGTGATTAGAGCTACAGAAGCTCCTGTCTGGAATGATATAATAAACTATCCCCTGGAAAAGTGGTAGGCCCAGGAAACTGGGGCATTTTGCTCCACTCCAAAGAAATAGGTTTTCAGGTTGGTACCAGCTCTCTATTAGTTTGACCCACATGGGGTGGTTCAAACTAATCAAGAGCTCTTCAACTTTCTCCTACATAGAAGCTGCTGTCCCTACGAGCCAGCAACTGAGATCAAATGAGAAACCCTCAACAAAGAACCAAGTCAAGACTCAAACACAGAGAGAGAGAGAAAAAGAGAACTTAAACTTGATTTGAGAGAGACAGCATGACATACAGAAGACTACAAATCCCAAAAAACAAACCAGAAATGAGTTAGGGAGGCAAGGAGTCTGTGCACTGAAAGTATATGGTTGGATTACACTAGCCAGGAGTCTTCCAAAGAAAAGTAACAAGGTCAACCAGCAGACAGTGGTGACCGCCAAACCAAAAGTGACCCAGACACAGCTAGAGTTACATATGTCATCAGTCTGCTGCAAACTGTGAGGGAGTGAGGGGAAAGGTGCCAGTGGGTACAGGCCAAGAGGGCAGAGAGTGAGGAGCCAACAGAGACCTTACAAGTCATATAGTCCAGCTCCCAAATTTACAGATAAGGAAGCTCAGGCAGTGACTTGGCTCCAGAGACCCCACTATTCCCCTTTCATAGTATTGCCCAAATCATGGGAGGTTTACTGTGCCCTTGGGGTGTTCAAGATCACTGTAACTGCTACCTGAACATAGCATTAGCAAATATCGAATCACAATGTGAGAAAGTAACTTATTTTCCTATTTTCTTCAAATCCTTCTAATTACTTCTAGAAGGAAGTGTCAGCTTGGTGCCAGTATGTTTTTAACACCCCCCTAACACATGCTAAACTCACAGAGGAACAGCATAATCAATGTTGGACCAGTATCTGGCTAGAATCCACAACTTTGCATTACATCTAACGTTTATAGTTACCTAACACTTATGCCAAGTAATAAATCCTTTTAAGGACGTGATATAAAATTTTCATTTTAAAGTTACTTTTATGTCAGACTTTTAAAAATACACAATATGGATAATACAAGGATAGATCAAAAATCATGAAGGCGGAATGGAATCACCCGTGTTTGGGAGAACATTCTCATCAGGAATGGATTCTTATACTCTGAGGTCTGTGATCTGCGCCCCTCTCCAGGAAGGGGTATAGGAGAGGTCAGTGCACTGTCAAATCAGTCTGAGTTTTTAACATCCTCAAGTATCTGCTTCGGCCCACTGCTAAACTAGAAACTACATTTTAAAAAACCTCAGTACTGTGATTTCAGCATTCTTATACTTGCAAATATGAAAGGCCCCTTACCATCACATTTTCCCCATAGTGGGCAGGCACCACAAGCTTTCTCAGCTGAGGCAGGCAGAGTGCAGCTGTCCATGCCAGTAAGAGTGTAATTTCTACCCTGACAGTGGAGAACATGCAGCTTGCACACTGTCAGAGGCAGTATCCTTTTGCTTCTCTCATCTTGAGCGCATACATCCAAGGAAGATCTGAAAAGAATTAATAACATTATGTACAAGATTTTGGTTCTTAAAAGCTGAGAAGTAGAAATGAAAAGTGATGCTCTGAGCTTAGTGCCCCCAGACGTTATCACCCAAAGCAAAAATAAAAAAGGATGGAAACTCAAATCCCCGTCATTCCTTGGGTCCAATCCACTTAGGTCTTCAAAATGATCGTATTTGTATTTACTCTCTTTATTTGCTCACAGTTTTTGCAAGTGTAGATATCTAGTGTTGATCTAGTTTCATCTAAAACAGATCAGGTAGAGTAAATTAGATGAGAAGGCAAGGTCTGCTAGCAACAGCTGGCAAAGAAGGAGACAGAAAACCAGTGGAAACCAAGCATTCAATATAATCGTAGTCAAATGGGACCATTAACTGCAGGAGCAATGAGCTCATCCCAGCCGGCAGCCAAGAGTTCATGTCCATAAAACAAAATCATCCAGAAATGGATGACCCTAAATCATCAAGGGAAGATAAACATGTATTTTTCAATGCTACTTTTAAAAGTATCTATGTTTACAAAATAGTTTAGAAATAAGGCTGGGCGCCTATAATCCCAGTGCTTTGGGAGGCTGAGGCAGGCAGATCACTTGAGGTCAGGAGTTCAAGACCAGCATGGCCAACATGGTGAAACCTCATCTCTACTAAACATATAAAAACTAGCTGGGCATGGTGGCACACACCTGTAATCCCAGCTACTAGGGAGGCTGAGGCAGGAGAATCACTTGAACCCAGGAGGCAGAGGTTGCAGTGAGCTGAGATTGCACCACTGCACTCCAACCTGGGTGACCGAATGAAATTGTGTCTCAAAAAATAAATAAATATTTTCATAAACTGTATTATCTTTTTCATAAGCATTGGTGTTAATGGAAAAAAATAGCTATTTAGAAATGTCACTATCAAAAAACTTCACATTTCTGAATGCTGACAGACAAGGTACACATTACCATCACTGATACTTTAGACAACAGAACATTTTTGTATACCAGATGGAATCAGAAAGAATCTATATTCACATACTTTATTTAGTTCTAATATTTTCCTCTTCTATTAAAAGCTAAATTTAATTGGAGTTATGTATAAGACAGAAACAAATGCTGTTGTTTTGAATCTATCTTTTCATCTATTTGTTTAAACTTTAAATAGAACTTACAACTGCTGAAAGGGCAAAGACCTTACAATACCACCTTGCTGTCAGTATCTGAGACCATGGAATGACATGGAAATTCATACCACAACTATTAGCCACGGGCTGCAGATAAACTAAATGAAATGGGGAAGGTGGAAGGAGGGTGAAAGTGACTCAAAATAAACAATGATTATTACAGATTAGCAGTAAAGTCAGAATATTACAATCAGAATATGTCTACACTGACCATTATTTCCATCATGCCATTTAGTTATATTCTTCTTCACACCAGAAATTACTATATACAATAACTATTAACCACTGTAGGTTCAAGAAGTTGGATATGGGTTTTGATAAGCAAAATCATTAAAAACGAAGTAATTCGTGTTTTGGGTGTTTGTTTATTTATTTATTTATTTATTTAATTTATTTATTTGAGATAGGGTCTGGCTCTGTCACCCAGGCTGGAGTGCAGTGGCATGACTTTGGCTCACTGAAGCCTCAACCTCTCCAGCCTCAAGTGATCCTCCCACCTCAGCCTCCTGCTTAGCTGGGGCTACAGGAGCGTGCCACCACACTCAGATAATTTTTGCATTTTTTTATAGAGAAGGAGTTGCACCATATTGCCCAAGCTGGTCTTGAACTCCTGAGCTCAAGCAATTGGCCCACCGTGGACTTGCAAAGCACTGGGATTTCAGACATGAGCCACCACACCAGGTCATCTTTCGGTCCTTAATTTAAAAAATGACCAATAAGTCTAGGAGCTGGATAATATCTCATTTCCTCCCCAGATCTAGGTTCTACTCTTCTCCACCTGCCTGGGAGGCTGACATGTATGGGCCGCATCATGGACTTCCTCGGCTTCTAGCTTCAGTAGGTTTGATCAATGGGGAGCACTGGTAGGATGCTCAAGGCAGGAAAGAGAGTACAGTTGACGTGTTTATTCCCCTAGCTCACGCCTGTGAGATCTCTGAGTTCCCTAAAATGAGAGTGTCAGCTCCTCCTCAGGGCCATCTCCACACAATTCTCTCGGTCTCCAGCTTTTCCTGAATGCCCCTCTCCTTACTCCTTGGACCTGGGCGTGGATATACAATTGAGCTGTTACCATGGGAATACTGCCATGGAACTTGTAGTTTCCTTTACTCTGTTCACATTTTTGTAAATATTCCTGCTAATAAGACTTTTCTTGTCCTAACTTAATTGTGCCATCTCTATCCTCCTAGGACCATAACACAGACATCTAGTAACTACTTCAGATATCCTCCCACAATGAAGTGATTTCAAGTTGGTGGCATTCTTAACAATGCAGATCTAGAGAAGACACTTCAAGAATCAACAAAAGCAGCTGCTCTTCCTTTATCAGAATTGCTTTAAAAGTTATGTCCCAAAGGAATTTCAGCTCTAATCCTCTAAAGTTGCAAATCCTCAGCTAACAGTTTGTCATTTTGCTCCATTTTATATATAAAACAAGCAGTGCTCAAGCAGTCCTTCAGCTTTCTCCACTAGCCAGATTAGAACACTGCTTAATGCCATGGCTGTCGGCCCTAGCGACCCAGGCAAATAACAGGCAGCAGATGGACTAGGTCAAAAGGCAAACAAAGACCCTTAACTCTTGGTAAGCTACAGCTTCCAGCCAACAGAGACTAGCATCTAAGAAACCATCACTTATCATGAATAAAATAAAATGGAGAAGTGAGCAACGACAGCACTTACCCACATTCATAGGGCATTTTACAAACGCATCTTGAATTCTGCAGTTTCTCCCAGAGCTGACATTTAGGCACTGCCTGTGTTAAAGGAGTGTCTAAAAAAGGATAGGGAGATGTGATCATTAAGACAAAAGCTTCTTCATAGTCAACAAGGTATTATTGAAATTGCTGAACCAGGGTCTGTAGTATTCTCAGCTACAGTGAGCTTGCATGGAAAAAACAGTAGTAATAATCAAGGTGTAACACATTTTATAAACTATGCAGAGTCTCTAGAGCCACATTATGAATAATTGCCTTGGTAGTAATAGCTACGATCTTGTGAGCATTTATAATTGTCATGCACTGTTTATACATAGGGATATTTATGCCTCCCCAACAAATGCCTGCCTAAGAAATCAGAAAATTAAGAGGGAAAAAAGTTAGGAAGTTGGTGCTACTTCACAAATTTTACAAATTGGCCAGGCAGGATTTAAGTCTACATTGGCATATACTTTTGCATCATAAAACTAGATAGTCATTTTCTATATCTATAAAGGTAGTTTATCTGAAGAGCATGTTTTTATGAAGACATAAACTATGGAATACTTCCTTACTTTGGAAAGCTCAAGAGTTTCAGGCATGACATTACAATCTTGTGAACATTCATAAACCTGTAAACATGGTGGCAATATGAAGTATGCTTGGTGTGGCCAGCAGTCTCAGTAACAAGTCTCGTCATTAAAACACTTCTCTTGGTCGGGCGTGGTGGCTCATGCCTGTAATCTCAGCACTTTGGGAAGCCAAGGTGGGCAGATCACTTGAGGTCAGGAGTTCAAGACCAGCCTGGCCAACATGGTGAAACCCAATCTCTGCTAAAAATGCAAAAATTAGTCGGGCATGGTGGCACACACCTGTAATCCCAGCTACTCGGGAGGCTGAGGCGGAAGAATCACTTAAACCCAGCAGACAGGGGTTGCAGTGAGCTGAGACTAGGCCACTGTACTCCAGCCTGGGCAACAAAGTGAGACATTGTCTCAAAAAACAAAAACGAAAACCAACAATAACAAAAGAACACTTCTCTTTAAAATGGTGTTATCCTAAATGCATCGCCTGTACCCTGACCTGGATCCCAGAACATAAAAGAGACATTAGTGGTAAAACAGGAGATATTTGACTAAAGTGTATAGTTTAGTCAATAGCATTGTGCTAATATTAATTTTTTAGTTTTAACCAAGTTGTGTTATGTAAGACGTTAATATTAAGGAAGATGGGTGAAGGGTGTGTAGAAATTATATCTGTGACTTTACTGAAATTTAAACTTATTCCAAAATGAAAGTTTTTAAAAATGGTATTATCTACATCAGTTCCTCTTAACCACGGACAATTTTGTCCCCCAGGGGACATCCGGAAATCACTAGAGACATCTTTGGCTCATACAGCTGCAGAGTGTTACTGGCATAGTAGATGCTACTGGGAGGTAGAGACCGAGAATGCTGCTAAACACCCTGCAATGCATAGACCAGGCACCCCAGCAAAGAATTACCAGGCCTAAAATTCCAGTAATGTTGAGGTTGAGAAGCCTTAATCTAGGTGTACCAAAACTTCAGTGCAATGATCAAGCCACGCAAATTAGTTCTGCACTGTGGTTAAACATTTACTTCGGGACAAATCCTGAAATTTTAGATTTTAATAGTTTGCTTAAATTATTATAATGTCTTTGTGAAAAAAAAATATTGATAGAATTACCTAGTCCAAAGAATGTTTGCATTTAAAAAGAACACAGTTTTGTCACCTTTGCAGCTTGGTTAACCAAATAAACACACTCTTATGGCCCACTGAGAGTATGTACTTTTGCTATTTTAAAAGTAAATTTCTTCACATCAAGACTAACTACAGGGAGAGAAGGGGAAAGTGAGGAATTAATGTTTAATGGATATAGAGCTTCAATTTAGGAAGATGAAAAGAAATGTTGGGGTGATGGTCACACAATGTGAATTATTTAATGCCACTGAGCTATACATTTAAAAATGGATAAAATGGTAAATTTTATGTTATGTATGTTTTACCACAACAAAAAAGACACTAAATACTAGAACAGTCAACATTTTAAAGCATCGACTTTGGAGGCTGGCAAGTCTGGGATTTTTATGTTGTTATAGATTTAAGGGTAGTTACTATTATTTACAACTTCAGAAAAACACACAGATCGGAAAAACATTCTTAATTAAAACCCAGTTTAATAGAATTTTCTACTGAGTAAAAAAAAAACTTCATACCAAATTGTGCTGTAAAATAGCTGAAGTAGCATTTTAGAAAGACTAGCCTATAATCTCACTGGGAACAAACGTGCAACCCCATCAATTGTGTATTGTTCTCTTTCATTTTAGAATTATAAGTACTGGTCCACTACTGTAAGTATTCCAAGTAAACTCATGTTTATGCTTCAGTGTTTACAGAACACAAAACAACTGTCCTCTGATATGGGGCCTTGATAGCTTAAGAGCACATCTGGACAGGCAAGGAGGGACTCCAAGGATGTGTGCCTTGCCCACTGTCCTGCCTCTCATCCACTTAACATCATAGCCCATATCTGCCATCAGTATCTGGATGCTCTGTACCCTATTGCATGGAGAACTTAGAAATATATAATTCACCTCACAGTATCACCTATGAAATCTAGCACTTCATCCCCACTATTAAAAATAAATTTCAGCATTTAATTAAAAAATCACATAATAAGAGAGAGAATATCACATAAAATAGTACACACGGAAATTTTTCTTCATTCTCACTTTTGTTACAAATATATTTTCCATTTATTTACAGAATGTAAACAAAGAAGAAATAAGGGATTATTTTCAAACAAATTACCTCTAAAAAGAAATAGTCTGACTTTCTAAATCCTTTCTACTTTAGATTTTTAAAAGACCATTTTAATTTTCTTGGTGTTCAAAACACTGGATTTTTGGGTTTCCACATTAAGAACAATTTCATGAATCACAACACTTTTTCTTCAGTAATATCTGCTTTAAAGTGTTAAATAAAAATGCCTTCTGAATTATCAATTTCAGAAACAATAATAAACTCTATGAAAGCTCAAAAATGAAACATACAGAATTTTACATAAATTATGATATCAACTCTATTTAGAGAAACTGCAGGGTGAAAAATTAAGAGGAAACAACAACTGGAAAACAGGTTTTAAAAATCCTTTATTGTCTTGCCACCATAACAGACATAAAGCTGATCTTTCACAAGGAGGGTTTAAGTTAAAAGTTTCGGAATTACCAAGCCTATCCTTGCCTTTCCTTGCACTCATGAGTCTTTCTGTGCCCTGTGAGGAAAATCTGTTTCTCAGTCTATAAACTGACCTCCATCTCTTGGGGAGCAAGAATGGAGGGAATGACTCACAGTTACGATATGATACAGTACCATGAAGGTTGACACAAGGACTCTCACTCGCCTGAGTGCAAGTGTCCTTGGATAGACGCAGAAGTCACTCACCTTTTTGTACACACCGGACATTCTTCATCTCAGGACTCCACTTAAGGCTGGAGCCACAGAGAAATGCTGAAGGACCTTCCAAGGACATGCCACCTGAACAGGAAACAGTCACCTTCTCACCAACTGCATAGAAAGGTTTATGGGGGTGACTCTGTATGCCATCCATCAGGACAGGTAGAACACAGGCAATTTCTAAAGATAAAAGAAAGCAAAATATAAGAGTCACTGCTCTCATAAACCATCTTTTTAAAAAAGTCTTCTGTGATGCTGATACACTTGTTCTGCTTTTTCATATTAGAGGACAAGGAGGAAGAAGTGAGTACTCTTAGGGTGGAATGAAAAACATGTCACACAGAGCCTGGTATGTAATTGACCAATGAATAACTAGAGACCAAAACATCTCCCCCCCCCACCCCTCCCCTCAAAACAATGTGGCGACTTAAAATGAACAACCCCAACAGAGTCCTAATGCCCGGCCTGCTGTTGAAACCAAATTTTCACAGCTGTCACTTATTTCTGTGCTCTGATGATGTGCCATCAAAATTTTTCTGAGCTGTATTCATTTGAGTTTCATTAACTTTCATCCAGTTAGATATTTTGCTATCTGAAATTTTTTTTTTTTTTTTTTAGATGGAGTTTCGCTCTTGTTACCCAGGCTGGAGTGCAATGGTGCAATCTCGGCTCACTGCAACCTCCGCCTCCTGGGTTCAGGCAATTCTCCTGCCTCAACCTCCTGAGTAGCTGGGATTACAGGCATGCGCCACCATGCCCAGCTAATTTTTTGCCTTTTTAGTAGAGACGGGGTTTCACCATGTTGACCAGGATGGTCTCGATCTCTTGACCTCGTGATCCACCCGCCTCGGCCTCCCAAAGTATCTGAAATTATTAAAGCACCGCTTTTATTTATTTATTCATCCTTTTTAGGGACAGGGTCTCTCAATGTTGCCCAGGCTGGAGAGCAGTGACTATTCATAGGTTTAATCAGTGTATACTACAGCCTCAAATCCTGAGTTCAAACAAGCAATGGGGAAAAAGATTCCCTATTTAATTGGTGCTGGGAAAACTGATGAGCCATATCCAAAAAACAAACTGGAGCCCTTCTTTATACCTTCTACAAAAATTAACTCCAGATGGAGTAAAGACTTAAATGTAAAACCTAAAACCATAAAAACCCTACAAGAAAAAAAAAAAAAAAAAAAACAAGAAAACCTAGGCAACACCATTCAGGACATGGGCACGGGCAAGATCTTCATGACTAAAACACCAAAAGCAATTGCCAAACAAAAGCCAGAATTGACAAATGGGATCTAATTAAACTGAAGAGTTCTGCTCAGCAAAAGAAACTATCATCAGAGTGAAGAAGCAACTTACAGAATGGGAGAAAACTTTTGCAAACTATCCATCTGACAAAGGTTTAATATCCAGAATCGACAAGGAACAAATTTACAAGAAAAACACAAACAACCCCATCAAACAGTGGGCGAAGGATATGAACAGACACTTCTCAAAAGAAGACATTTATAAAACAAACATATGAAAAAAAGCTCATCATTGTTGGTCATTAGAGAGAAAAGCGAATCAAAACCACAATGAGACACCATCTCACACCAGTTAGAATGGCAATCATTAAAAAGTCAGGAAAGAACAGATGCTGGCAAGGATGCAGAGAAATAGACACACCTTTACATTGTTGGAGGGAGTGTAGATTAGTTCAACCATTGTGGAAGACAAGGTGGCGATTCCTCAAGGATCTAGAATCAGAAATACCATTTGACGTGGCAATCTCATTACTGGGTATATACCCAAAGGATTATAAATCATTCTATTATAAAGACACACACATACATATGTTTATTGCAGCACTATTTACAATAGCAAGGGCTTGGAACCAACCCAAATGCCCATCAATGATAGATTGGATAAAGCAAATGTGGCACATATACATCATGGAATACTATGCAGCCATAAAAAAGGATGAGCTCATGTCCTTTGCAAGGACACGAGTGAAGCTGGAAACCATAATTCTCAGCAAACTAACAGGAACAGAAAACCAAACACTACATGTTCTCACTCATGTTAGAGCTGAACAATGAGAACACATGGACACAGGGAGGGGAACATCACACACTAGGGCCTGTCAGGGGGCGGGGGACAAGGGGAGGGAGAGCATTAGAAAAAATACCTAACTCATGCCAGGCTTAAAACCTGGATGACGGGTTGATGGGTGCAGCAAACCACTATGGCACATGTACACCTATGTAACAAACCTACATGCTCAGCACATGTATCCCAGAACTTAAAGTAAAATTTAAAAAAAAAATTTTTTTAACTCCTGCACTCAAGCAATCCTCCTGACTCAACCTCCTAAGTAGTTGGGATCACAGACACATGCCACCACACCCAGCTAATGCACCACCTTTAACCTTGCAGACATAAAAGTGTTCAGTGTTCCCTGATTTTTTATCTGTATTCTTTCTTACTGAATTCCATTGATTAGCTCAAATTGCTTACTTCAAAATAGAACAGAGAATAAGAAAAAATACACATAGTGTAAACAGCAAGTCAGAATTTATTATCAAAAAAATAATCTCACTAATATCCCTAATGGACTTTGGACAATATTCTACAAAGTATTGCTGTATCCTTACACTACTGTCATTTTTAAAAAATTCATCCATTGTCTTTTGCTAGGTTTTGAGTTTTTTAAATCTTGCTCCTCTAGCTCTTTCAATTTTGACAATAGGGTATCAATTTTATTCTTCATTCTCAGCAAACTGACAGAAGAACAGAAAATCAAACACCGCATGTTCTCACTCATAGGTGGGTGTTGAACAATGAGAACACATGGACACAGGGAGGGGAGCATCACATACTGGGCTCTGCGGGGGGGAGCTAGGGGAGGGACAGTGGGAGGTGGGGAGTTGGGGAGGAATAACATGGGGAGAAATGCCAGATATAGGTGATGGGGAGGAAGGCAGCAAACCACACTGCCGTGGGTGTACCTATGCAACAATCTTGCATGTTCTTCACATGTACCCCAAAACCTAAAATGCAATAAAACAAAATAAGATAAACCATTCATTCAAAAATAGCATCTGATGGATACACTGAAGGCTTTGACTTCACCACAATGAAATCCATCAATGTAGCAAAATTGAGCTAGCACCCCATGAATACATACAAAACTCCACAGCATTTTTGAGTGCCTATATTTTGCCAAATATTTTGTGTACTGCTTGTGACACAACAAGATACAAGTCATATCTTATGTTTTCTGAAACTTCATCATCTAGTATGGAATCTGTTTGTTTCTAACACATTTCCTGTTTTGACAATAAATCTCCTGGGAAAATGGAAAGGCTGTACAAAATTAAAAAGAAAACTATTTCTGAGAGAATCAGAGCACTAACAAGGCAGTGCACGTTTCAAAGTCCAAGATTTCAGAGAGAAGGGAAGTCTAATGTGGTGATTACAACATTTGGTAACACATTTTTTTCCTTGAGGTATTTGTAAATTGGAAAAAAAAAAATGAAATGTGCTGAAAGGCTGCTAAACTGAGGATAAAACTGTAGCTCAGAGGCTGAAAAGATGAACGGTTTTTTAGCAGTCTCACAGGACCAGGGTTTTAAAAACTAGAGTCCAGTCCAGTCAAAAAAAAAAATGGGCCAGGTAGAAAGCCCATACCTTCAGCTGGAATCCCTTAATGGGCCCACCCTCGGAATAGAGATAACCCAGACATAAACCGGCCTCACTGGCTGCCATAAACAAAATTAACTTCTCTAGAGGAAGACAGGAATATCCAATTTTTTAATTTTCATACATAAAGTATGACATTCAATTCAAACTAATTTAACATTCAAAAAGACAAGAATTGACCAAATTCCAACCAAGAAAGACAACAGAAACAGACTTACAGAAAAAGACTTACATAAATAACGAAATTGACGGATATAGGCCCTGAAACAACTGCAATTAATACATTGTTTTAAATGACAAGATGGAGAATCACAACCGAGAATTATTAAATAAGAAACAGTAAACACAAATGTTTGAAGTAGTTGATGTGCTATTTACTCTGATTTGCTTATTACTCACTGTTTACACATATCAAAATATTACTTAATAATATATTTTTAAGTAAAAATTTTAATATTTTTAAATACAATAATGTAAGAAAAATATAGGCTCATTCATTTTAATAAGTTAGTGGAAGATGTTAATACCTAATAGGGAAACTGGGTGGGAAGTAAGAAAATAGATGGGAGCTCTCCGTACTTTCTACTCAGTTTTTTGTAAGCTAAAACTGCTCTAAAAATTAAGTTATTGATTTAAAAATTCACTATGCAATAAAAAAGTAGACAAATGAAACCTCTAAAGCTGAAAAATAGGCGACACAACGGCTCACAGCTACAATCCCGGCAGTTTGTGAGACTGAGGCAGGCGGGTCACTTGAGCTCAGGAGTTTGAGAACAGCCAGGGAAACATGGTGAAATCCTATCTCTACGAAAAATCACAAAAATAAGCTGGGCACTGTGGCACACATCTGTAATGCCAGCTACTCAGGAGGCTGAGACAGGAGAATTGCTTGAGCCCATGAGGCAGAGATTACAGGGAGCTAAGATCGCACCACTGCACTTCAGCATGGGTGACAGGAGTAAAACCCTGTCTCGAAAACATATATACAATTTTTAAGTTGAAAAATAAAATCAATAACATTTAAAACTCAATAGAGTTCTTAAAACGAGATTATACAGAAATATACAGAGAAGTAATAAGTTGGAAGATAGGTCAATCAAAAATATTTAGAATGAGGCCGGGTGTGGTGGCGCATGCCTATAGTCCCAGCATTTTGGGAGACCAAGGCAGGCAGATCACTTGAGGTCAGGAGTTTGAGACCAACCTAGCCAACATGGTGAAACTCCATCTCTATTAAAAATACAAAAATTAGCTGGGTACAGTGGTGCACACCTGTAGTCCCAGGTACTCAAGAGGCTGAGACAGGAGAATCACTTAAACCTGGGAGGCACAGGTTGCAGTGAGCTGAGATCACAGCACTGCCTCTAGCATGAACAACAAACAAACTCAAATAAAAAATCATAATAAAATAAAAATAAAATATTTAGAATAAAACAGAAGGAAATAGATAGAAAACAACAAAAAAGGATGTTAAAAAATATAATCGTCCAAAAAATGTATAATTTGTGTCCCATTAGGACAAGTGAGCAAGAATGAGACAGAGGCAATGTTTTAGGACATCATGGTCAAGAAATGCTCTAAAACTGGCAAAAGACTTAAAGCAGAGGTTCAATTAGTGCTTTGAATAGTAGCTACGATAAATATGAAGAAAATTATACCTAAGTTGCTGGTGAAAAACAAAAACAAAAAATAATTAATAATACCCTTTTTCCACCCTAGAGCTACTGGGCCTGCCCGTCTCTGTCAAGCCACAGATGCAGGTCTCTGTTCCACAGGATGGGATTTATTAAAGTTGTTAAGAATAAGGGCTACTTTGAAAGACACCAAGTGAAATTTAGAAGATGACAAGAGGGTAAAACTGATTACTATGCTCGGAAATGCTTGGTGATACAGGATAAAAATAAATACAGCGCGCCCAAATACAGGAGGATAGTTTGTGTAACAAACACAGGTATCATTTGACAGATTGCTTAGTCCCATATAGAAGGGAATATGATAGTCCGTGCAGTGTACGCACATGAACTGCCAAAATATGGTGTGAAGGTTGGCCTGACAAATGATGCTAAAGCATATTGTACTGGCCTGCTGCTTGCCCGCAGGATTCTCAGTAGGTTTGGCATGGAAAAGATCTATGAAAGCCAAGTGGAGGTGACTGGAGATGAATACAATGTGAAAAGCATCGATGGTCAGCCAGGTGCCTTTACCTGCTATCTGGATGCAGGCCTTGCCAGAACTCACAGGCAATAAAGTTTTAGCACCCTAAAGGGTACTGTTTGCCTCACAGTAGCAAACAATTCCCTGGTTATGATTCTGAAATGCAGAAGTACACCAGAAGCACATCATGGGCCAGAATGTTGCAGATTACACGCACTACTTAAGGGAAGAAGATGAAGATGCTTACAAGAAACAGTTCTCTCAATACATAAAGAACGGCGTAACTCCAGACATGATGGAGGAGATGTATAAGAAAGCTCATGCTGGTATACAAGAGAATGCGGTATATGAGAAGAAGCCCAAGAAAGAAGTTAAAAAAAGAAGTGGAACCATCCCAAAATGTCACTTGTTCAGAAGAAAGAGCCGGTAGCTCATAAGAGGGCAAGCCTCTTCAGAGCTCAGGAGCAGGCTGTTGAGAGCTAAGCCAAACAATTTTTCATGAGGATTTCTCAGATAAAGACAATAAACTTACTGACAAAGCAAAAACTAATAATAATCAATAATAATTTTCTTGGAAGTGGTCAGACAGAAAAGACATGATTTCTAAAGGAAAAACCTAACAGTTGACTTCTCCCTAGAAAACAATATCAGAGAGCAATGTAATATTAATAATTTCGTCAAATGAATTAAAAAGTAACTGCTGGCAGGTGTGGTGGCTCACACCTGTAATCCCAGCACTTTGGGAGGCTGATGTGGGTAGATCACCTGAGGTCAGGAGTTTGAGACTAGCCTGACCAACATGATGGAACCCTGTCTCTACTAAAAATACAAAAATTAGCTGGGCATGGTGGTGGGTGCCTGTAATCCCACCTACTCGGGAGGCTGAGGCAGGAGAATCACTTGAACCTGGGAAGCAGAGGTTGCAGTGAATCAAGATTATGCCATTGCACTCCAGCCTGGGAGACAAGAGTGAAACTCCACCTCAAAACAATATAAATAAATAAATAAATAAATAACTGCTAGCTTAGAATTTCTTACCTAATAAAAATATCTTGGCCAGGCAGGGTGGCTGATGCCTGTAATTCCAGCATTTTGGGAGGCCAAAGCGGGCAGATCACCAGGTCAAGAGATCAAGACCATCCTGGCCATCATGATAAAACCCTGTCTCTACTATAAATACAAAAATTAGCTGGGCATTTTTTTTTCATTAGCTGGGTGTATTTGAGTACCTGTAATCCCAACTACTCCAGAGGCTGAGGCAAGAGAATCACTTGAACCCAAGAGGCGGAGGTTGCAGTGAGCCCAGATTGTGCCACTGCACTCCAGCCAGGCAATAGAGTGAGACTCTGTCTCAAAACCAAAAAAAATTCCTTTGAAAAATAAAGGTAAAAGACATTTTAGATAAACAAAAACTGGGACAATATCTCATCAGTAGATTCACAATAAAGGATAAGAAGCCCTTCAAGCAGAAGTTTCTTATAAGTCTTTTCAAAGACAAACTTTTGACTTTATTACTCCCAACCGGCAAATATTCATATTCATTCTATTTCATTTGTTTCTGCTTAAGGGTTCCAGGATAAAAGAGAGAGAGAGAGAGAGAGATCAATAAGAAAAAGACAATGACCATCAATCAACAAGTGGATAAAGAAACTGTGGTGTATCTACACGACAGAAAACTACTCAGCCACAAAAAGGAATTTATTAATGGCATTCATAGGAACCTGGCTGAGACTGGAGACTATCATTCTAAGTAAAGTAACTCAGGAATTGAAAACCAAACATTGGGTTGGGCGTGGTGGTTCACATCTGTAATTCCAGCACTTTGGGAAGCTGAGGCAGGTGGATCACGAGGTCAGGAGTTCAAGAAAAGCCTGACCAACAAATGAAACTCGGTCTCTACTGAAAATACAAAAATTGCTGGGTGTGGCAGCATGCACCTGTAGTCCTCACTACCTGGGAGGCTGAGGCAGGAGAATCGCCTGAACCTGGGAGGCAGAGGTTGCAATGAGCTGAGATCATGCCACTGCACTCCAGCCTGAGCGACAGAGTGAGACTCCATCTCAAAAAAAAAAAAAGAAAAAGAAAACCAAACATAGTATGTTCTCACTTATAAGTGGGAGCTAAGCTTTAAGGACGCAAAGGCATAAGACTGACAAAATGGACTTTGGGGACTTGGGAGAAAGGGTGGGAAGGGGGTGAGGGATAAAAGTCTACACAAATTGGGTGCAGTGTATACTGCTCGAGTGCCAAGTGCACCAAAATCTCACAAATCACCACTAAAGAACTTTCTCATGTAACCAAACACCACCTGTTCCCCAGTAACCTATGGAAATTTTTTTTAATTTCATAAAAAATTTAATATAATTTTAAAATAAGAAAAAGACAAACCAGTTTTTTTAATGAAAATAAGACATGGACAGCCACTTCTCCAAAGAACATAACCAATGGCCAAAAAACATAAGGAAACAAGCTTAACATTATTAGTCATTAGAAAAAAAAACACAAAAATAGGCCAGGGAAGGTGGCTCACGCCTATAATCCCAGCATCTAGGAGGCCTGATAGTTGGATTGCCTGAATTCAAGACTTCAAGATCAGCCTGACCAGCAAAACCCTGTCTCTATAAAAATGCAAAAATTAGCCAGTCGTGGTGGCACATACATGTAGTCCCAGATACTCAGGAGTCTGAGGCACAAAAGTCACTTGAACCTGGAAAGTGGAGGTTGCAGTGAGCTGAGATTGCACCACTGCATTTCAGCCTGGGCAACAGAGTGAGACTCTGAATCAAAATAAAAAATAAACAAACAGGATATCACTATGCACACTATACACTCATCATTATGACTGATGATATCAAGTGTTAGTAAGTACATAAAGCAATGACTTCTCAGATTATGGTAGTGATGTAAAACCACCACTTGGAAGCCTGGCAGCTTCCACTAAATCTAAAAGTATGTCTCCCCAATGTATGAATACCCAATTACTCAGAAATTTCACTAATAGGTATATTCCCAAAGGGAGAAATGTGTGTGTGTGTGTGTGTGTGTGTACACTAGGGCTTTCCTCATAGCATAGAGCAACTGATTTAGGAAAAATATATCCCTACAGCTCTATTTATTTGCTGAACTTATATTGCAAGTGAGGTAGAAGCCAGAATAGTTTTCGGGTGGTACAGCATGCAGAATCTCTTATTCAGATGCCTGTATCCAAACAGAACAGGATGCAAAGCATTTAAGGAAGTTGATTGATTGTGGTACATCCTGAGTAACTGCACTCTAAAGAATATCCTGAGACAACAGATGCTGCTCAGGAAGCAGGAAAGGATGTGGAGAAATAGGAACGCTTTTTTTCGTTGTTGGTGGTGGGAATATAAATTAGTTCAACCATTCTGGAAGACAGTGTGGAAATTCCTCAAGGATCTAGAACTAGAAATACCATTTGACCCAGCAATCCCATTAATGAGTATATACTCAAAGGATTATAAATCATTCTATTATAAAGACACATGCACACATATGTTTACTACAGCACTGTTCACAATAACAAAGACTTGGAACCAACCCAAATGCCCATCAGTAATAGACTGGATAAAGAAAAATATACACCATGGAATACTATGCAGCCATAAAAAAGTTTTAGTTCATGTCCTTTGCAGGGACATGGATAAAGCTGGAAACCATCATTCTTAGCAAACTGACACAAGATCAGAAAACCAAATACCACATGTTCTCACTCATAAGTGGGGGTTGAATGATGAGAACAGATGGACACAGGGTGGGGAACATCACACACCAGGGCCTGTCAGGAGGTAGGGGGATAGGGGTGGGATAACAGGGGGTGGAGGTATAGGGGAGGGATTGCATTAGGAGAAATACCTAATGTAGATGACAGGGTGATGAATGCAGTAAACCAACATGGCACATGTATACCTGTGTAACAAACCTGCACATGTACCCCAGACTTAAAGTATAATAAAAAAGAAGAAGAAGAATATCCTAATGGTCTTCATCTAAAGAGAGTATCCTGGACTATTCTAATTTGCACCAGAAAGTTTTAAATAATAAAATTGACCTCAATGAATGGAAACATTACCAACTAGAGAAGGCTGAGGGCTTATTCAAGTCCCTCCTAAAACTTGAACAGGATCACGTCAGACTTTCAGGAAAGGATGGCCAACACATGGGCCACATGGTGAGTGTTATCTTGGTTCATTCTCTCCCATGTCATATTCTCATCTTAAATTACAAACTACAACTGATGCCACTCACTCTGACAACGCATATCCCCAACCAGCCACCGTAAATCTTCTCCACATCTGGCCACTGGGTTTCCAATAAGAGAGTATCCTTCATTGCAAGTATACAGTACATTTTTCCCCACAGGAAACATTGTACCTTCATCCTAAACAAAAATAAAAGATGAAAAGGGAAAGAGTTTGTCTATTTTGCATTAACAAGAGGTTTCTTTTCATCATCAGGCAAGCTACATTTAAATAACTGATTTAGAAAAGTGTCTGTAAAAACATTTTCCCCTATATAGTCAATAACACTAGTACCACCATGAATTGAAATAGAACTATTATTGCCACTGTCTATTATGTATTGATTGCTCCCAAAATACCAAGCACTATACTAAGCATTCTACTAAAATCACTTTACACTGTCCAAATAATTTATTTTCCTTTTAGGAAAAATCAGTTATTTATCAGATTTGGGGAACATGTTTGTCAGTCAGCTCTTCATATTGAGGTATTACTGGGCTGGGAGCAGTGGCACACGCCTGTAATCCCAACACTTTGGGAAGTTGAGACAGGTGGATCACCTGAGGTCAGAAGTTCAAGACCAGCCTGGCCAACATGGCGAAACCCTGTCTCTACTAAAAATACAAAAATTAGCCAGGCGCATGCGTGGTGGCGCATGCCTGTAGTCCCAGCTACTCAGGAGGCTGAGACACAAGAATAGCTTGAACATGGGGAGCGGAGGTTGCAGTGAGCCAAGATAGCGCCACTGCACTCCAGTCTGGGCGACAGAGCAAGACTCTGTCTGTCTAAAAAAAAAAAAAAAAAAAAACAAGGTATGAACTGTTCATTGGCAATGCTGCCTACAAAATGGCAGCATGAACACTCAGAAGTTTTCCAGTCCGATCAGTATGCTCAAGAAAGTTTAAATTTCTCGCTGATAACTTTTAGGGGAAGCATAATGTTGATCTTCCCCCATCCTACCCTCCTACTCCACACTGTATATATGGAATGCTGCTGGAGCGGGTGAGATTCAGGAATGTTTCATTAGCCTATAATGCCAGGAAGTGAGCTTTCATGGTGAAGCAAGGAGGAATTTGAAGTCTGAGCCTGTGGGTGGATGAAGGGTAATCACACTCATTCGGGGTCTCTCTTGGTTCCTTTCCTTACTCTTCTCATTCTCTTCAACCCAAGGGGATGGTGAAAAAACTCATGCTTGGGAGAGGGCTTAGAGCTCATGCCTAGACCAGCTCTGCCCTAGGGATTAGAACAAGATTTCCTGGTATCTCCTTCCCATTGTCCGTGTCGCACCTCCTGGCCCAGTCTGGCTCTATCATGGAAGTTGGTAGGAAACAGAGGGCCAGGGTTGATGCTGAAGTTTGAGGGAAATGGGGAGAGGCACATGTTCTGTTTTGATTCATGATCCCATTCCTTCCTCTACCATGCAAAAAAAAAAAACAACACTTTTATATGAGGAAGTCTGATTCAACAGTGCACAAATGTGGCTGTATATCATAATCACTTGTAGACATTAAAAAATCAACTCTCAGGCTGTACTCCCAACTTATCAAATCAGAAAATGCGGAGGACAAGGGAGAAACAGCAATCTCAGTTCCCTGAGTAATTCAGATGCAGCGAGTCCATAGAGCAATGTTTGGGACTCCTGGCTCCTAAAAGGACAGCACACACAATGGAGTGGTGGACAGCAGCTTCATGGTTTGCTAACGTGCGTGAATTTGCTGGGACTGCTTCCCTGAGCATATGTTCCATTCAGGAACTCCATGAATTATGGTGACTCTGGTAGGACAGAATGGGTGTTAGAGATGTTAGGTTCATTCTCTGTCTCTCTCTCTCTCTCTCTCTCTCTCTGTCTTTCTCTGTCTCTCTCTCTCTCTCTCACACACACACACACACACATGAGAACACACAACTTTCATCTCCCAGTAGTGCCTACATTTACGTTTGGGGAAACCTCAGTAAATTTTCAGTGAACGGATGTTCAAAGGCCTGGGATTTGAAAAGCACGACCCCTCATGAGGAGAGCAGGGCGGGTAACGGAGCAAGCCCTCATGAACATTCCGTGTGAGCCATGAAGACGCACCACTGGGGCTGCAGGCCAAAGCCTCGTCATAATGGCTGAGAGCAGCATTAATTAAAATACCCCAAAAGCCAAGAACAACACAAGTTCCCAGAATGACAGGCGACTACTCTTCTTTCCTGAACAGGGAAGTTCAATTGGTCAAAGTAGAATGATCCGTATCTCACTAGCCACTAGCTAACTGTCTGACTCCTGGAGTAAACCTAACACTTCATCTCAGGGCCTACACTTAGGAGGGATAAAAAAAGACTTCTCTCCGTGGCAAAAATAAGAGCAGTTCTCTAAGTTAAAGAGCAAGCTTGTAGATTCGCAGTTTGGTGTTTAGTGTGGCAAAGTTTCGTAGCCCTCTGGCATGATTTTTCTGAGTCACTGGGCGGCAGCACAGATTTCCCACACCACAGAAGATACACTGTATCTTGCAGAATTCAAATCACCTTGGGCCAAGGAAAAAAAGTCACACACTGAAACCCTTACCACTAAAACTAAAATGCACATATAAAATATTTTTAGCACGGCTTCACCATGGAAGAAAAAAATGGATTGTGGGCTCAGTAGAGAGAGAGAAGTTGGAGCATTACAAAGGGAAAAAAAAGCTTTCATAACCAACTTGAACAAATCCATCTTTCAAGGCAGGAGGTGATGGACAGTATTCTGTTGGAACCAAAGACAAAGGAAAGCAATGCGGTTCGAGCATTCTGAAAGGAAAAGAAAAACACATGTAATTAATATGATTGATTTGCACAGTGTAATAATTATTTTGCATTACATTGGATTTCTCCTTTGTATCTGAAGGAACTCCATTCATGTAAGTATATTGCTGTGATATTTTTGTCATTCTTAGAACCAAATGTCTGCTTACATCCTGTGGTAGAAAACTCAAACACAAACTCAAGCTACCAAAAGACAGTGATTTAAACAGCTACTAGGTCAGCAGTATGAAAATGAAAAGGAAACAGAAAGAATGAAAAAAAAGAAAGTCTTAGGCCAACACACTACTTTCTGTTTCTAGAAGTCACCTGTTTCAGAACCTAGTTTTCCTTCTGTTTGTTTCTGAAATTCATTTAACACAGAATTAATTCCACATTGCAAATAAGATAATTGGGCAAGGTGTGACAGCTCAAGCCTGAAATCCCAGCACTTTGGGAGGCCAAGGTGGGCAAACAGCCTAGGGTCAGGAGTTCCGAGATGAGCCTGGCCAACAAGGTGAGACCCCATTTCTACTAACAATATAAAAACTGGCCAGGCATGGTGGCAAAAAGACCTGCAATCCCAGCTACTTAGGAGGCTGAGGCAGGAGAATCGCTTGAGCTTCGGAGGCAGAGGATGCAGTGAGCTGAGATTGCATCACTGCATTCCAGCCTGGGTAACAGAGTGAGACTCTATCTCAAAAAAAAGAAGAAGGTAATTAGAGTTAGTGACCTCAGGAGAGGTAACTCAAAATTATAACTACCTTTTACTAAGCATTTACTATGTGTCAGGCACCATGGCAGTTGCTCTGCATATGTACATTATCTCAATTCATACAGCAACACCATGGGATACATGGAAAAAACAATGGCAGGGAAAATTTGAATAACTTGTCCAAGATTATAATAACTAACAAATACCAGAGCTGGATTTACATCTAGTCAGTTAGGCTCCTACAATTGTACACCTCCTACCTCTCACAAGGCAATAGAGGGAATAGGAAGTCTTAGTGTTTTTTTCTGAATGTGTATAACTGAGAGCATGTTATTTGGTGAAAGCAAGTTTTAATAAGGCTTCTTCTTCTTAAGTAAGAATCTTAAACCTAAAAGGAAGATGGGAGAACAGAAGTCCTAATATCATCCCACAAGTGCCAATCCTGACACTTTACCATCACTATGACCATCTCTTGGGGCAGTTTGTAATTATGATAATGATGTCATCTGTTATTAAACAATGGTTTTCAAGACTGCCTCGAAGGTCAAAATAACACCAATATTACCTCCACTCCAGAGACACAAAACCTGAGAGAAAGCAGTACAAATAGCCTGGGAGTGTTGCCTCCTTCTCAGCTGAGTTCCTTATAATCTTGCCACACTTTGTGGCAACTGTGGCAAGTTGAATTTTCCTATTTGTACCAAGGAAGAAGATACTCCCCTCCCCTGAGCACCAAGAGTGAAAATCTCCTCAATGCCTTTCTTAGGATGCACCTCTCTTCCTAGCTTTATGTTGAAAAACAGGAAAAATGCATCCTCTTAGGCAGCGACCTCCTCCCAGAAACGTGCACAGCAGCCAGCATTCTCTTCCCACTATCATTCATACGCTTGCCAGCTTCCTCAGTCAAGAGGTACTGATTAATGCCGGGTTACAAGGCACCAAAGATACAGGAATAAGGCTTCCCACCTCCCTGTGCTTCTACCACATAGCCAAGCACCTCATCTCTTTCTTCAACTCACATGACCTTCAAATTATCTTACTAGAACATTTTGCCAAGTCAAGTTAGTAAAAATTACTAAGGACAATTTAAAACATTGTGTGGCATAAAAAATTCTGACCCAGTGGTATGATTCATCAACTGAGCATTTTTGAGATGGCTTTTGCAGGGTCCTGACAAATGGGAAGTTAGTGTCATATTGGGTTCACCCGCCAAGATATTCCTCATCTCAAGAATCTGGCTCTGTGCTTAATCCAAAAGATAAATGAGTAAGAATGGTACATCTGAAAAGTAATACAATCTTTACTGAATGCTTAGCAATCACTTTAATTCTGACAATAACAATAAACAGATTATCTTATTATCAGTGTACCTACTATTATCATTCTAATTTTAGAAACACGGCCAGTAACTTGCCCAAGGTCACACAGCATGTAAGTGGCCAAAACGGATAATCATATCCACTCAGGTGTACTACTCCCAATTACCCAGCCTTTTGTCAGGCCTGTGTCAGGAAAACTTGAAACACACAGAGCAAGCTCCTTCAACTCTCCCTAGTACTATGGGACAAAGCAACCCCTGGAAAAGCAGCCATTTAACTTCTAAATCTCTTGACGGCAGCGATCGTGTGTTCCACACTAACTGCAGAGGGCACCGTATTCTATGCATCTGCCAGGGGTCGGGACTCCATTACCTCAAGTGCTCCAGCTCCTCATCTTCACATTGTGCGCTTTCTGTTGTTTCTCCAATGCAGGATCTCCCACCCTCACTGGGAGGTGGGTTATTGCATTCTCGGCTTCTTGTTTTCTTCCCTTGAACACAGGGGCTCCAAGAGGACCAGCAACTCCAACCTCCATCAACCCCTCCTACAAGAAGAAAAAAGAGGTTGTCCAATAAGTTCTTAAAGAGGAGGACTTGGGAGCTTAGTGCTGTGCTTCCTGCTAACAAGTTAACTGGAAGAAGAGATCATTCTAGATATTGGTTACCTTCACTCTTCATTGAGGTTTTCTACAATGTTCAGAACGGTTCTGCACACAGACTACCAATGTCCATGTTACAGTTGGATTAGTGCACCTCTTGCAATAATATCTTTAATTTGTTGATTATTTTAAAACTGTTTCAAAGCACTTTCATGTACATTGTATCATTTATTTACTTCTCACAACAGTGAATGCAGGTGGGCAGGAAATTTGTTACCATTCTATTTAGACAGCAGGAGGGGGTGCTTCCACTTTAATGGATAAGGGGAAATACAAGCCACAAAGGAATGAATCACACTGGTAGAATTTTAATTTACCAGAACAGGCCACTTGGAGAAACATTTGGGGATAAGGATGACTTCATAATGCTTGTCTAAAAGCATCTGTAGTTTAGTCTTATATTTATTAATTTATCATTTATTTAGTGACTTCTATGAATCAAGCCTTTTGTCAAGCTCTGGGAATAAAGAAAGGAATCAAACAGCCTGAGATTCAGTAATGAGCTTTCTAGAAGAGGCAGACATGTAAATAAACATAGAAGCAAAAGTACACAGACTGTAGTCATACTTTGACTACTCATAAAGTCAATTTCACATAGCCCTGTACTAATTGCTTGGAAGCATCATACACATGGTAGAGCACACAGCAGATGTTCAATAAATATTTGTGAGTGATTGAGAGTACATCATACAGAATAGAAACACAAATATTTCAAAGAGCATGCTATCAGAAAGTTTAGGCAATGCAAATACACAAGCTCCGTAGACCTTCCTTACAGCAAAATCTTACTGAGATAATTACAGAGGATGGAAGGTGTTTCAATCATAACTCTATTCTAATAGAGAATGGGGAGTGGAGGGCACAGTGGGGCTGTTAGTTCAGATGGATAAATAGAGATAACAGCAAAGAACCTTAACCTTAGTAGCTACAACCTTAAAGTGGTGAAGGGAAGGAAGATTCTAAATTCATGAGACTTCATCTCTCCATACACAAAGAAGCATCTCAAGGAGCAGACAGGGAGGGTAATTCCCTTTCAATGTATACAGAGTGACTAGAGAAAATTCGCCCCACTGACCTGCTTGATTCCCTATGAGGACTCCTTTCTCACATGCTGCACCAAATGTGTATGGTTTGCAATGGCACACACAATGGGTCCCCTCAACAGTGGCCAAGCCACCATTTTGACAAGGCTGGCAATGACAGAGGTCAAATTCATCCAGATACTCTTCAAGAGCCCGTTTCAGGTATAGTTTTTTCACAGAGGCACAAGGTACATCCTTTACCAGCTCATATAAAGGTGTCAGCTATAGAGATAAAGACATCATAGTAAGTAATCAGGGATTTAGGCAAGAACATTTTGCTTTTCATGTTTAGGGTCAACTCTCATTTAAAAAAAAACCAAAAACCATGGGTAAGTTTGTTACAATTGCTTGTATTCAAATACAAAAGAAAATAGTGCACTCTCCTTGCAACAAAATCAAGACAAATTTAGGGAAAACTAGGGTCAGATAGGGGAAGTTTTTTTAATATTTTTTGTGCATGCATAAAATTAAAAAAAAAACAAGTCATTCATTTTCTAGTTAATGGAAGATTATTTTGAAGATAATACATTACCATCCCTACTGAAGACAGAAGAAAAGTAAATGTACTTAAATTACAGCGAAGAAGCAAGTGAAATTAAATTGAGAATTAAATTTCCTGACTGAGAGATTTAACATGTCTCTTAGTGGAAATTATGGATTCTTTCCTCATGGAGAAATTTAAAACAGGTAAACATTATTACTTTGCGTTGGATATTTCAGAAGAAAAGCAACTTTGAAATCACAGATGTACTGACTCATCTTTAACAGTCTGCTCTCTCAGGAACAAAAACATCTCTGTTTTGTAGCATTTGTCAGTTTCTGCGGTGTAGCTACTGTCACACAGATGATTCAGGCTGCCACCACAGTGCCTGAAGTGGGAAGAGCTATGCACCATTGGTTCCTGAGAGCCCGAGCTCTTCTGAATACGACGGCTTTGCATTGCCGTATACTGTACCTGCATAGTGCCTTTTCTTTCTTGGTTCCTTTTCTGCCCTGCTAAAAAGTTAGCACAACTATGATAATTTACAGTCCTGTGTGGAAAAGTGCATAGAGACTGTTAAAGAATGTCTGCTTTTCTCTAATCAATAATTTCATGTTTCTAAAGATTTGTAGGGGATGCTGACAATGAATACAAGCCATTTTGAATATTAACAGATTGTCCTTTCAGATAAGACTTTCTAGGAAAAACTCACCCTCCCTCCCACCCTCAATTGTATTTGGAAGCCAATGGGTACTGTGGTGTTAGGAGGGGACTTGAGGATCTATTGCAATTTTTGAGTTTATAAAATGTATCTCTGAAAATCAGGCTTTGCCTGGGACGTTGTTTGACTTTCATGCAGGGAATAAATCATAGAATCAGTTCTGCTATAGTGTTTGTTTTGAAAAGGTGAATTTATTCCATTGAGATTGATATACTGAAAAAATTTCGAGCATGGGGTTTTCTTAGGTACAGTTTTGTTCACATGAAACACAGGATGAACACAAAAAACCTCACACAGCTGAAACAAGCCACATAGGAATATACAAAACTCACGTGTACGCATGTGCATGCACACACACACACACACATTCACACACCCCTCCGCATCTATGTCAGTTCATTTCCTGCATTATAAACTATACCTATCCATATCCACTATTACAAATGTCTGGCAGGTTTCTAACTGCTGTCCTTCTACTACTTCACAGTAACTTACAAGCCCTAACCCTTCTAGCACCCAGAAAGCTTCGGATCTTTTTCTAGGTAATTTGCCACACTTATTGTATTACAGATACAGTTTTTAAAATTATTATTATTTTATTTTATTTTATTTTATTTTTTGAGATGGAGTTTCGCTCTTGTTACCCAGGCTGGAGTGCAATGGCACGATCTCGGCTCACTGCAACCTCTACCTCCTGGGTTCAGGCAATTCTCCTGCTTCAGCCTCCTGAGTAGCTGGGATTACAGGTACGTGCCACCATGCCCAGCTAATTTTTTGTATTTGTAGTAGAGACGGGGTTTCACCATGTTGACCAGGATGGTCTCGATCTCTTGACCTCATGATCTACCCGCCTAGGCCTCCCAAAGTGCTGGGATTACAGGCGTGAGCCACCGGGCCCGGCCTACAGATACAGTTTTTTTTTTCAGATGGAGTCTCATTCTGTCGCCCAGGCTGGAGTGCAGTGGCGTGATCTCAGCTCACCACAACCTCCGCCTCCTGGGTTCAAGTGGTTCTCCTGCCTCAGCCTCCTGAGTAGCTGGGATTACAGGCGCACCACCAGGCCCAGATAATTTTTATATTTTCAATAGAGAAGGGGTTTCACCATGTTGGTCAGGCTGGCCTCGAACTCCTGACCTCATGATCTGCCCACCTCAGCCTCCCAAAGTGCTGGGATTATAGGCGTGAGACACTGCACCCAGCCACATTTTTAAATAATTTAGCATGCATAAAGCCATGTGGCTATTTTTATTGACACCTATCTTTTTCATATCAGTGTCATAGATGATAAATTTGAGTGCTGTGTCTCTAACCTGATTTTTTTTTCCCTGAGCCCTTTATTGTGCAATTTTGCATAGCTCAATGATTTTTAGAAACACATATGTTGCAGTATAAAAGAACTGATGATAACAATAAAACATCTTTAAAAATTTCTGCCAGCCAACTTGGTACTATCCTGATTTGCACGACTTCAGGAGCCCACAAGGCACGGCTACACAAAGAAAGGTGATGGGAACGTAACAGAAGGCAAACCTACATGCCTTCCCCTTGCAAGAATCTGTAACTCCTCCGACTTAGCGACCAAGAAAAACATAATCAAACAGATCAAATGTTAAACATGCAAATTTTGTCATTAATTTATCTTGGAAGTTGCAAGACATTTAATGTTTGCCACTAAAATACAAATATAACACACCTTCTGTTTCTTATTATTATGTGTGCATTCATTTACTCTACAAAATATAATTGGGACACAGAAATGCTAATTACAGCCATGTCTTTATTTAGCCTCTTGATTTAACCACCTTCATCTTCCTCATGCAAATAAACATGACTGCTTCCTATGGCATTACACAAAGCCTCACATACCTTTTGTTTTATGACTTGAGGAAGATTAGTCACAGATTCTGCCCAGGAAGAATATCGTCTTTTGTTTCCAGCGGGGTTGTCCAGCTCTAGGTAACTAAGGCCAGATACGAAGCCCGCAGCTCCCCCTCTGACAAACGGGTCTCCTCGCATCACATTGCTGTGGGTTCCTATGTAGAAGAAAACAGATGAAAAGTGAAAAGTCTATCAAGCATTAAAAAATAATCTATCAAACTGCATGACATCCTGGAAAAAGCCAAACTATGGAAACAGTCAAAAGATAAGCTGTGGTCAGGAAGAAGGGAGGAATGAATAGGTAGAACACAAATGATATTTAGGGCAGTGACACTGTTCTATATAATACTACAATGATGGGCACATGTCATTACATATTTGTATAAATTATACAGATGTATAACAAAAGTCATTAAATGTTCAACATCAAGAGTGAACCCTAATGTAAATTATGGACTTTGGATGACAATGTGTCAATGTAGATTCATCCATTCTAACCAATACTCTACTCTGATAGGGAGTGTTGATCATGGGGAAGGCTTTACCTGTATAGGAGCAGGGGATATACAAGAACTCTCTGTACTTTGCACTCAGTTGTGCTGTGAACTTAAAACTGCTCTATAAACTAAGGTATATGTATTTTATTTTTTGGTGGTTTTCCTTTTTTTTTAAGCCAGTCCCACTCTGTCGCCCAGGCTGGAGTGCAGTGGCATGCTCACTGCAATCTCCGCCTCCCAGGTTCAAGTGATTCTCATGCCTCAGCCTCCTGAGTGGCTGGGACTACAGGTATACGCCACCACACCCAGCTAGTTTTTATATTTTTAGTAAAAATGGGGTTTCACCATGTTGGACAGGCTGGTCTTGAACTTCTGGCCACAAGTCACCTGCCCGCCTCAGCCTCCCAAAGTGTTGGGATTACGGGTCTCCTTGCGCCACATTGCAGTGGCATGAGCCACTTCACCCAGCCAAAGCTAAGGTATATTTTTTAAAATAGAAAAAGACTCTTGCCTGACAGTAGATGATATTAGAGAATTATTGTTCATGTTCTTTATATTTTTAGTGTAATAGAGTATCACATTATGCAAGACAATGTTCTTCTTAGATGATACATGCATATATTTAGGGATGAAGTATTATGATATCTGAAACTTACTTCCAAATAGTTCAGCAAATAAAATACTTTAAATATATAGTACTTAAAAGAATCAGTCAATATTATAAATATTATATGTACATATATTTAGTAAAATTACAAAATAATAATTGTACATAGGAAATTGGCATGTGGGTATTTATTACTATGTTCTCATCTATATGTTTTAAATTTTTCATAATAAAATATTGGGGGGAAAACAGTTTCTTGCAGCTGGTATCATAATAATGAATAAAATAAGCTGTTAATTAACAGGAATCCATTACTTAACGCATGAAACATGTTCTGAAAAGTGTGAAATGCTAATTGAATTCTTCTTTCCATTTATGTGCCTCATAATGTTAGAAATACTTTATCTCCATTGTAATGGTTTTTACACAGGTCATGACAAGAATTTCCCAAATTTGCTGATAGGATTTTGAGTGGTTTTCATTTCCTTGTAACTGTCCAATTTTTGCAATTTCATAAAATGAGCATATTGTACTCATATTCAGAAATCATTAAAGCCTGATAGTGTTTTTTGCTCTTTTATTTTTTATTTATACACAATTATGGTACATATTTATGGGATGCGTGTGATATTTTGATACATGCGTAGAATCTGTAACGATCAAATCAGGGTACTTAGGATATCCATGACCTTATCATTTGCTTGTGTTGGAACATTTCAAATCTTCTATCTATTTGAAAATGTACGATAAATTTTGTTAACTATAGCCACCTGACTACGATCAAACACTAGAATTTATTCCTTTTTTTTTTGAAACAGAGTCTCACTCAGTCGCCAGGCTGGAGTGCAGTGGCACGATCTTGGCTCACTGCAACCTCTGCCTCCCAGGTTCAAGCGATTCTCCTGCCTCAGCCTCCTGAGCAGCTGGGACTACAGGCGTGTGCCACCACACCTAGCTAATTTTTATGATTATAATAGAGATGGGTTTCACCATATTGGCCTGGAGGGTCTCAATCTCTTGACCTCATGATCCACCCACCTCAGTCTCTCAAAGTGCTGGGATTACAGGCATGAGCCACCACACCTGGTCGAATTTACTCCTTTTGTTTAACTATAAGTTTATACCCATTAAGCAACCTCTCTTCATTGACCCATTCCCCTCCCCAGCCTCTGATAATTATCATTCTACTCTATCTCCATGAGATCAACTTTTTTAGCTCTCACATATAAGAACATGCAATATTTGACTTTCTGTGCCTGTAAATCCTGATAGTTTTAACAAATTACCTGATGCCTCCTCATCTTCATTGCTAGCTGTGCTTTAAATATACAGATAGTCACCCTTTTTAATTCAGTGTATCACAAAGTCTCATCCCTGTATTACTGAATCACAATCATCTGAGGGCACTGCAGACTTCATAGTCCCCACCAAGACCTACAAGAGAATATCTGAGAGAATGAACAACCTTTGGAATCAGCATTTTAAGAGGATCCCCAGGTGATCCTCATGCATACTAAAGTTTGGGAATCACTGCCTTAAACAGCACACCTTAGCTTAAGAATTACAGATTCGATGAAATCCACTAATTTATGTTTAAGGCTTTAGCATTCCTTTCCATACCCCAGTGAGCTCTCTGTTCCAGCTAATGTTTTTCCTAGAAAAAGCAGCCCAATGCAACAGTGAAGACTCCAGACTGCGAAGCCAGATTTTATGCATTTGCATTTCGTATCTAATTCTTATTCTATAATCTTGATCAACATTTCTGGGCCTCAGTGTCCCCAAAATGTGAATAATACTTAACGCTAAGGTAGGAAGAGTACGTTGGTTAATTTTTGTAAATCACTTAAAATTGTGCTGGCACATAGTATGTGCTCTGCGTTTGTTAACTACGAAATAAAATAAAATTGGTAAGCAGCTTCCAACTGCCAGCTCATCTGAGGACTGTTGTTAACATTTTCTCAAAGTTCTTACTTTCATTTCTATGCTCAGATTATTATTTTTCCACTTCATTCAAAAAGTTTTCCTCTCAGATATGTCAACTACATGAAGACAAGCACTTTCTCTGGCATATTCATGGCTGTATCTTGAGTGTCTAAAACAATTCCTGGCACATACCACAGACTCCATAAATAGTTGATTAATGAAGAAAGTGAATGAGTACCTAAACCTGGTTTTACTACTCATCTCCCTCCTTGTACTCATCTACCAATATCCCAAGAATCCCTGCTTCTTCACTGAGAACCACGACACATGGGTCAGTGTTCACCTGTGCCATTACCCCAAAAGGATTTCAGCTCTGATACTGCTCAGTCTATGGCCTCTCGCATATGGCCTCTTCCCTTGCAATCAAACAGGCCTGGTCTTAACGAGAGTCACGGTTGTTTTGTGCAACTAAGAGCTTTTCCCTTTGGGAAGATTGCATGAAGAAAGCATCCATGATAAAGGATCCATGACAAAAGTATCTTCGGTATCTCCAGGCCTTAATTTAGTCATAGCAACATTTTTCATTTTCTTTGCAGGTGAAAGTAAATAATGATTTCGATTATGAACTTTACAATAGTACTGCACTGCTGTCTCACTTCCATCCCTACCATACTATGGAATCTCTTCCTTTAACCACAGCTTCTTTTTTTAAACCTTTATTCCAGATTCATGAGGTACATGTTCAGGTTTGTTACCTGGGTGTATTATGTGATACTGAGGTTTGGAGTAAGATTGATCCCAACGCCCAGGTAGTGACTATAGTACTGAATCGTTTTTCAACCCTTGACCTTTCCCTCTCTCCCCTCCTTAGCAGTCCCCAGTGACTATTGTTGCCATTTTTGTAACCATGAGTACCCAATGTTCAACTCCCACTTAAAAGTAAAAACATGCACTATATGGTTTCCTGTTCTCGCTTCTGCACAGCAAAGGAAACTATCAATGTGCAACGGACAATCTACAGAATGGGAAAAAATATTTGCGAACTATGCATCTGATAAAAGTCTAATACTCAGAATCTATAAGAACTTAAACAATTTAACAAGTAAAAAAATAAATAACCCCACTAAAAATGGACAAAAGGCATGAACAGACACTTCTCAAAAGCAGCAACCAAGTCTTAATTACCAAATCCAATGAACATTTATCGGTCCTTATCTTACTTGACTTCTCTCTAGTATTTCACTCTGTTGACCTCTCTCCTCCCTTACTTTCCATCTCTTGTTTTTTTATGCTCCCAAATTTTTCCTTTTCCATTCTTCTTTATTCTCTACAACTTTACTTAGGTAATCTTTTATTTCATCACTCCATGTATTAAATCTTTTAATGGCATCCTCTAGCCATGAGAATAAAATCCAAACTCCTTAACATGGCACCTTCATAGTCTGGATCAGTTTATCCTTTCAGTCCTTCTTCAGTCACCCAAAGACTAACACACCACCTTCCCCCCATCTCCACTGCCAACCAGTATGCACCAAAAACCTGACCTCCATAGAGTATTCATGTCAGCAAGTGAAACTGAATCTTCTCTTGATATTGTCACTTGTCTAGGCTTGTTTGCCAATCATCACAAGGGAGGAATCTGCTGTACACTGATTACATATTTATAATACAGAGGATATAACCCAGTGAATTCCCTAGTCTGTGTGATATCTCAGTACCACAACATATGAAAGAGAGATCAGAGGCAAAAAAATTACCAAATAGATTTTTAAAAACAGAAAGTAGAACACCTCCTAAAGCCTCGAAAGCCCTTAGAGTTCAAGAATGAACCACAGAAGAGCGGAGTAGAGGTTAAGCTTGTAATTATTCACAAGAGCAAAGACATGGAATAAAACAAAATGCCCATCAGTGATAAACTGGATAAACAAAATGTAGTGCATATACACCGTAGAATAATATGGAGCCATAAAAAGAATAAGATCATGTCCTTTGCTGTGACATGAATGGAGCTGGAAACCATTATCCCTAGCAAACTGACACGGGAAAAGAAAACTAAACATTGCATGTTTTCACATATATGCAGGAGCTAAATGATGAGAACACATGGAAATAGGGAGGAGAACAACACACATTCAGGCTTTTTGGAGAGTGGAGAGTGGGAGGAGGAAAAGATCAGGAAAAATAACTAACGGGCACTAGGCTTAATACCTGGGTGACAAAATAGTCTGTACAAAAAAGCCCCATGACACAAATTTACCTATATAACTTCACATGTACCTCTGAACTTAAAATAAAATTTAAAAATTAAGCTTGCAATGCAAATTGCTCTTTTTTCATTTACCTGAATCAGATTTTAAAGCGTCTTCCATTTCCTTGCATTTATGTCTTGATGAACTAAAGAGAAAATGCCAACCTGAGGATTTACAGTTTTTTCCTTCTACTGAACCAAAATCTGGGGGAAAAAAATGTAAAAGAGACATATTTAATTTCCGCATTCCTTGAAGATCTTCATATATGAGAGTAGGGATAAGAGGTTGTTTCCGGCTACTATGGCCATCTAACCAAGAGTGACATGACATGAATATTTTCAAGTACTCTAGAAGAGTTAAAGATCAGAATAAAGGTATTTGACTTTTGTTATTTTCCTTCTATTAGCTTCAGCCACAGAGGGGAGACCAGAGGATTTTCTACATAAAATAATGCAGGGAGTAGAAACTGAACACCATAAAGAGTGGTATCTTTTACCCATTTACAGTCGGCTTCTTAGGCACAAAATAAATCCATAAAAGTAGGAGTGTGACAGCTTCTTCCAGCAAATCTACTTAAAACTCCCAAAGCTGGCTTTGGTTTCCATAGGAATTAACTCCTAAAACTCAAGTTCTACTGGCTGAATCTCTCCATCTTCAACATCTGTGACTTCCAATATCTCCTCCTGACTCATAACCTTAGAATGTGATCATTTCTACTCATTATCCAGTGGAGTTTTTCCAATGCATTTTTTAAAAGTAGGATAAAAAATGACAAGATGTGAGAATATATTTTCTCATTTTACTAACTATATTAGAATAACGTTAATGTTTCTTAAAGAACAATTATTTGGGGCATAAATTATATCCCAGAAGTTTTGATTATATTTAAATAACAATTTTAGGAAAAACATAAACTGCTCGAGAGTAAAATTTTTACCAAAAAATATAATTTTACCATCTTGGAAAGATTTTTTTAAGTCCTCTCCATTTCTTTTTAGTGCAATAAAAAGAAGCAAAACTGAATTTAGATCAAACTACTTGCTAGATTGATTCTCCAAAGAAATAGTGTCCTCGTCTTTGCTATAAAAACCTAAACCTGTGCACTCATTTCCAACCTGTAAGATTTGAAAAGATCAAATTCCCGTTAAAATTTATGTCATAGAGACCTATAAAGAAATAGCTCAATGGAGACAGAAAAATAATTATAGTTTACCCATTTAAAAAGCTACAAGACTTCCTCTGAATCTTATGTAAGAGATCTTATTCTTCTCCAAGGTTGCAACAGAATCTTTTCGGAAGAGTAAGACCTTGAAGAGGGGATTTGGAATAGAGAAGGACATGTGAGCATCTGCTAAAAGACAAAGTTGGGGGGAAAAGTTGGACTTATAACATTAGTAAGCCTAGCTGGGCGTGGTGGTGCGTGCCTGTTATCCCAGCTACTCGGGATGCTGAGACAGGAGAATCGCTTGAACCAGGGAGTCAGAGGTTGCAGTGAGCCGAGATCATGCCACTGCACTCCAGCCTGGTGAGAGAGCGAGACTCCATCTCAAAATACATAAATAAATTAAAATAACTTTAAAATAAAGAAGACGAGTAAGCCAAGGCTAGTCTCTGAAGAGGAGGAGTGGATGCTAAGCCATCACCATCCCCTCCCACGTCTGGACAGATAGTGAGGATGAGGATGCTTCCCTCAAAATGAAATTAACAAAGCATTAATTCAGAGGCATGTCCTGATTCTAACCAAAATCAGGCAATTTTAGCAGTGACATAACATAAGGAATAAGCTATACTGACTTTGAGGCCAGTTAGACCCAGCCTTAAATACCCTCCTTACAATTCACATGACCTTGGATGAGTCTCGTAATAGCACTGAGTCTCTATTTCTCAATCTGTGGGACAGAGATTAGAATTCCCATCTCATTGGGTAGTAGCAAGAATTATTACTAATACGTGAAACTCACTTGTCATAAGGAAGGTATCCAATCAATTTAAGCTATTGTTACAAGTATTAAGTAGTAAATGAACGTGTGATATTCAAAGCAGATTTTCTTAAAAGAATGTGAGTAGTAAAAACAAAGGTAAATGAAATACTTATTTTTGATTTCTGAAACATTACTAAATTCCTCATTAGTTTTTCTTGAGAAATACTGTTTAGACTGAGAAAGGGGAAAGTTTAAAAAGCATTTTAAAAATCCAACCAATACCCTCTGAAGATAGCCAATAATAACAATGATTTAGCTCAAGGTACTATCCAAAAGATATTACATGGTTTTCCTTAAACCATGTAAGATTTTAAGTAAAGAATAATACATTCTTGCAATTTTGGATTCCTTTGCAATTTAAATCTTTATTTGTCAAATTTTAAAGCTCAAAAGCTTACATTAAGTACAGGTTATTTCCCCATTAAAATCCCAGAAATGCTTTTAGACAACAAATTTTTTAATACTATACCCTTTTGTTTGAATTTTTCTGAGTCCACATAAAATAAAACTCTGTATTCTCCTCCTAAGGACCCAGATTGCAGATAATGTGTCCCATACTGGTCGATGAGTCTTCGGTAGGCACTGTAGTCATACAGAGAGGGGAGGTGGGAAAGCTCCTTCCAGAATGGCTCCGCAAGTTGTAAAAATTCTGGATTGTTATTAATGAACTGAGCCACTTCAACAGTGTTCTCTACAACCAACAATTGATAACTCTATGGAGAGAAGAAAGAGGACAAGGAGCTTCAGGTGGAAGATAGCAAGGCAATGAAAATAGTTCTCTTTTCAATATCTCCATCAACTCTCACCTCCAATCAACCCAGACTACATTAATTTTTATTTTTGACACATGATGATCACTGCTATGGGCCCACCAACAGGACACAATCAAGAATATGTGGAGTCTCAAATAGTAATAACATCTGAGAAATGGCCAGGCACAGTGGCTCACTCCTATAATCTCAACACTTTGGGAGGCTGAGGCAGGCAGAGCCCTTGAGGTCAGGAGTTTGAGACCAGCCTGACTAACATGATGAAACCCTATCTCTACTAAAAACACAAAAATTAGCCTGCCATGGTTGCACATGCCTGTAATCCCAGCTACTCAGGTGGCTGAGGTAGGAGAATCACTTCACCCAGGAGCAGAGGTTGCTTCTGTCTGGTGTGAGCAATGATCACACCACTACACTCCAGCCTGGGTGACAGAGTGAGACTCTGTATCAAAAAAAAAAAATCTGAGTAATGCCATGTTAAGCTACCACCATCCCCTCCCATATCTGGACATATAGTGAGGCCTCTTCTCTCAAAGTGAAATCAACGAAGTATTAATTTAGGGTTCAGGATTAATTCAGGAGAATTCAGGATTATCCTGCCTCAGCCACTTGAGTAGCTGGGATTACAGGCATGTGCCACCATGCCTAGATAATTTTCATATTTTTAGTAGAGATAGGGTTTCATCATGTTAGCCAGGCTGGTCTCGAACTCATGTGATCTACTTGCCTTAGCCTCCCAAAGTGCTAAGATTACAGGCAAAGAAATTATATGATAACTTCTTATATAACCTCCAAAACCCCAAGGCCAAGTTGCTATGCTATCTTCAACTAGAAAAAGAGAAACAATGCATCAACTGATAAATATAAATATGTAAAATAATGTGTTCTTATTGTCCCTGTCTTGACAATGACTTGTAGGTATCATTTATCTGCCATGCTAGGGTATTTGCAGGTTAAGCTACTTTATAATGAGATCTTTTAAACACTTCCTAAGCATCTTTCAGTGACATCCAAGGCAGATCACAGATCTACTTTTGCCAAACCCCCACCATGTGAACAACATAATATGGAGACAATAAATGTTTTTACAACTCAAAGTTCCATAGTCAGTTTCTTAGTCATAAAGCAAAACCAATATTTCTTATACTTTCCTTAGTGATTTATTAATCAAATTACTAATTTTAAGAATGAGATGAAATGTACAGATTGTGAATAATGATCAGCCAAAAAAAAATTCTTCACCCATAACTCTGTATCAATTAGTACAATCCATCTCAACTGTTCAGGTTTCTCAAGAAGAAAGTTTTGATATTTCAAAACAATGAAGTATTTAAAAATAAGTCTTTTAACTTTCTTACATAAAAATGTTGGTATCTCAAAAGGAATAAAATGTTTTTAAAGTCTTATATCTTCATGCACCTTCTAAGAAGACTCTAGCATTTGCATTTAAGAAGCATATATAAACATTAGATTTTTTTATTGTATATGACACTTAAAATAGTATCACCAGTAATCACAAATAAATTTAAGATCGTTTAAAATAGAAGATTTCAAGGTAATAAGGGTTTGTAAACATTTTCAAATAAAAACAAGTACTTTTAAAGAGAAGTTTAAATGTATAAGTAATCATACATATATGTTTTGGTTTTGGTTTTGGTTTTTTTTAGACAGGGTTTCACTCTGTTACCCAGGCTGAAGTGCAGTGGCTTGATGTGGCTCACTGCATCCTCTCCCGCCCGGGCTCAAGTGATCCTTCCACCTTAGTCTGCTGAGTAGCTGGGACTACAGGCATGCACCACCATGCTCAGCTAATTTTTGTATTTTTATAGAGACAGGGTCTCACTATGTTGCCCAGCCTGGTCTCAAATTCCTGAGCTCAAGCAATCCATTCACCTTGGCCTTCCAGAGTGCTGGGATTATAGGCGTGAGCCATTGTGCCTGGCTAGTATACATAAATGTAGTATCAAAGAGATCTAATGAGACAGTATTGCACCTTTTAGAGAAACATATTGTATTGTCTCTTAAAGGTGGTACAATTACTATTACAAATTTTAATGAAAGTTGACCCTTTTGATTAATACAAGTTTATTAATGTAAGCAATACTTCAAAACAGTAAAATAGGAAAAAGTTAGCTGACATTTTATACTAACCTTTTCTTTATGGATTTCATTGGTATGTGAAGTATAACTGTGTGAGCTAGATGATGAAGATCTAAAAAAGGAGCGCTTCTTACTAGATGATGTATGTTCTGTCGATGTACATTTTACATAAGACCAAGTACTATTGTAAAATTCGTAATTAAAATCATTATTTACTTTCACCTGCAAAGAAAATGAAAAATGTTGCTATGACTAAATTAAGGCTTGGAGATACCCAGGATACTTCTGTCATGGATCCTTCATCATGGATACTTTCTTCATGCAATCTTCCCAAAGAGAAAAAGCTCTTCAGTTGCACAAAGCAACCGTGACTCTCATTAAGACCAGGCCTGTATGATTATAAGGAAAGAGTTCATTCGATGATTATTTTTTATTAAGCAGAACACATGGTACCAACACTGGCAATTCCAAGTGATTCACAAAACACATTTAGGTACAAACAACTTCTACATTCCTTTCATGTCAGCATTTGGCCCCGAAGTGAGCAAATTAACAAAAGCTACGCTGACAGAGAACTAGAAAGAATTTAGCTCTTGATCTTTCATCTAATAAAGGGGAACAGAGATGCAAATAGGTGATACGAAACAATTAACTCTTTTGGACTTTGTTTTGGAATGTTCTATGTGATCAAGTAGTGGATTTAATTTCTAATTCTGTTTCACTTTGATAAATGCTAAAATTGCATTTTTCTACACTAGATAGTAGAAGAAAGGGCCACCCCAAAAGAATTTTAAAGTAGACAACAGGTTAGTCACATGTGACTAATTGAGAAGTGACAGCTTCAGCTTTTATTGAAGAAGCAATCATTCATTTATCCTGTATTTTACTCCAGATCAAGTATGAAAATGAAATGCCCACAGGTGACTGGCAGGTATTATCAATGTTGGAAACCTCCAGTGGACAGCATGGTGATGAAAAAGTGAACACACACCCTGTCTAAAAGGGACACACAACACTCAAATCTACTAGACAGGTTCTAGTATTGACAGATTGTCTGATTTTTTTCAGGAGATAAATTTGAAACTTTATGTAGAAATCTCTTGATTTGTTAAAATTATAGACAACCAATTTGCTAAAAATGTCAGTCCCTGCGGGAATAAAACAAAATAGGCAAGAAGACTCCCTCTCACTGTGTCTGTTCTACATAAATATTCAAATTAGGAATCTTCCTTCCACGAGCATTAGTATTTTTATTATATATACGTACACATCTGTGTTTGAGATCAAAGCTTAAGAAGAGAAAAAATTGAACTGATGGAAAGAATATACTTTTTTGATAACTAAAAGGAAAGAAAATAACAATGTTACACAGTCATACTATATGATGCTTACAAAGACATAATTAATATTCATGTTGTCACATTAAATAAGAAAACAGGTATAAGTGTGAAAATTCTATTAACTACAATCATGCAAGAATATGTCCAGTCAAAAAAGACTAAAAAGAAAATACACCAAAATGCCATAAAATATAATATGACTGTTATCACTACCTTCCGTTGAGTATTAGATATGCATGCTAAAACGATAAGAAAGACAAGAAGACGGATTTAAGCAAATCTTTTATTAGAGCATTATTTCCATTACATTATGAAATTGGTTTGTTTAAAAGTTAAATGCAAAAATTCAGCTTGGGCTGGAATGAAAAATATATGTATGTATGTGTGTGTGTGTGTGTGTGTGTGTGTATGTATAATAGACACATATGTATATACACATATGCACACATACACATACATATATATTATTGACTAAAAAAGTTTAGTTTTTTCCAGGCGCGGTGGCTCAAGCCTGTAATCCCAGCACTTTGGGAGGCCTAGGCGGGTGGATCATGAGGTCAAGAGATCGAGACCATCCTGGTCAACATGGTGAAACCCCGTCTCTACTAAAGATACAAAAAATTAGCTGGGCATGGTGGCGCATGCCTGTAATCCCAGCTACTCGGGAGGCTGAGGCAGGAGAATTGCCTGAACCCAGGAGGCGGAGGTTGCGGTGAGCCGAGATGGCGCCATTGCACTCCAGCCTGGGTAACAACAGCAAAACTCCATCTCAAAAAAAAAAAAAAAAAAAAAATTAGTTTTTTATCTCTTTGGAGAAAGAAAAGTTACATACATTCCTTTCAATGCAAAAAGAATTAGCCTATTTTCCCCATCTTTATATCCACAATTCAAATACATGGTTCCTGATTTATTCAAATAAGCCTCTTAGCCGCTTTAGTTCAGCATCTTCTCACTCCTATCTACCTACACATAGCTGCAAGAGTCATCTTTCTCAAAGTGGTGTGGTCTTATTAAATTTTCCTTAATTAATACCCTCCTTCTTCCTGCTTAGATTCTGGATTCTCCAAGACTGATTCTTTCTCTGAAATCCTAAATTCAACCTTCCTACACTCTGACATCTCTTATTCTTTTAACTTTCTCATTTTATTATTGCCATATCTATTATTTAACATTATAAAAACATGTTCTTCCACTTATTCTCCCTGTTTCTCACTATCAGTACTTTCAGTGATTTCAGGTCCTTCATGGCTCATGACTTCAACCATTCTCTTGCCAATGAATTTAACTTCCTTGCCTAGATGACCTGCTATCACATTTTCCAGGCAAAAACCCAGCCCAGGCTTGCTAGGCCAAGCAGCTTCACACTATTCTAGCAAATTGCACAACTGTACATATTGGTGCCACTACAAATCCGTTCGTGATTTTCAACTTCAGTAGAATCCTCAATACCATCCAGCAACACTTTATTTCTCTAGTCAGTTCTCTCTTTCTCCCATTCTCTACAGTATCTATTTATAAACTATAGAAAATTTAAAAAAATTTTCAAAATTCAATTCCCCAATTCTACAGCCACTTCCTTCACTCTCAGAAGATAAACTTACCTCTTTCTTTACAAAATCTCCCATCTTCAAAGACCACTTAAACTGCTGGCAAACAAATCTACAAACTTACTAACTTTTCTTTCATTCTTTTTCTCCATAGGTGTCCTTCCCTCTTGTCTTAGGCTAAACTTTCTGTCTCTTCTCGTAATTGCATTGCCTCTGACCTCTTCAAAGGGTGGATGAGATGGATTGATTGTTCCGTCTCCTACAGCTTCCATTTTTCTTGATCTACTGGCTCCTTTCTATCAAAAGTGATACATGTTCTAAGATGTTACCTGTTACTATATATTCCTTCTTTCCTACTTTTCTGCTTTCCATCTCACCACCTTAAATGAATTGACTATAATTATCTTAAATTCTTCACCTCCCATTCACTCTTCCACCTACAATGGTCTGACTTCCAACAACGCTGCCGGCATCTTCCTTATTTCACCAGATGGTGAACACTTCTTCCAACGTTATTCAGCACTGTCGACCACTCTCTCCTACTAGAAATACTCTCTTCCATTGGCTTTCTAGTTTTCCTTTTCTCTCTGTCTTTCTCTGGCTGTTCCTTCTAAGACTCCTCTGGGCCTCTCCTTCTACCACTCGTCTATGCTAGTTCCAAGATCAACAGTGATCTCTACTCTGTGGTTTCAATTACCATTCCAATACTAATAATTAGCAAATGTATATTTCCAGCCCAAACTCTTTCTCCTGAGCACTTGGACATAACTTAGGTACCTAAACTGAATTTGTCTTTTTTCTGCAAACAGGTCCTTACCATCTCAGAGGATTGTATTTTCATCTGGCCATTGGTCCAAGTCAGAACCCATTCATATCCCAGACTGCTCACTCTCCATCATTCCTTACATTCAGCCACTCACCAAGTTATCTCAGGCCACTGTTACATTCCTCAGGGATTATTACAACAGTTCTCTAACCAGACTGCTTCCCCCCAGTCTGCCACCCTCCAATCTATTCTCTACTGTTCATAAGAGTAGCATCCTTTCTTAAACTCTCTAATGACTTTTTAAAAATCCAAACTCCTTAACTAAACAGAAAAAAAGTCTGTTTTATTTGCTTTGCTGATCACTTATAACCTCCTTGCTTACGACTCCTCACACTTCACTCTGTAATCCAGCCAGTTTGAACTTCATTCAGTTATTCAAAGGTGCTCCAAGGGCCAGGGTCAGTGGCTCACGCCTGTAATCCCAGCACTTTGGGAGGCTGAGGCAGGTGGATCACTTGAGGACAGGCGTTCGAGACCACCCTGACCAAAACGGCAAAACTCTGTATCTACTAAAAATACAAAAATTTGCTGGGCATGGTGGTACACGCCTGTAATCCCAGCTACTTGGGAGGCTGAGACATGACAATCACTTGAACACAAAAGGAAGAGGTGACCGTGAGCCGAGATGACACCACTGCACTCCAGCCTAGGCAAATGCATAAGACTCTTTCAAAAAAAAAAAAAAAAGTCTTCCTCTTGCCTTCCTGTTTTTTCATTTTCTCTCTCTCATTCCCACCTACATATAGAATGAGAGATGATATACAGATAGAGATATTCACTGTATATACATACATATATATACTACATAAAATGCTTGTGAGTATAGTGTCTGCTAAGAGGGAGTTTGGAGCCAGACTTCTAAAGTTCAAATCTCACCTTTGTCATTTTCTATGCTGTGGATATGCTATTTAGCTTTTTTGCCTTTGTTTTCTCATTTGTAAAATGAGATGCCAGTACCTACCTCCTTAGGTTATTATAGGGAAAACAGATCCATTTAAAGCTCTTGGAACAGTGCTTAGTATATAAAGGACTCTTACATGTGATATATTTTTAACTATCATTTAAATTATTCCTAGCTAACAAGGTAGATTTAGAACTCTCAGGTAGCTAGTTCTCACATCAATAGAAGCAGCAAAGGTTTAGATAAAGTAGCATTCATTAAAATTGCCTTTAGAATTTGTTTTTGTTTTTCACTTGAAATGCATCTAGGATTTCTCTTCAAAATATATAATGAAGTACATTCAAGACCAAACACAGAGGAAGCGATGAGGCTTCTTCACCTTGATCATAACTCATTCCCTTCTGCAATTCATCACATTTGGAGAATAAACACAACAGTCTTTCTGCCATCTCTCAGGCTGAACTAGGCAAAGGGGCACCTTCCCAAGCAACAAATGCCTTCCTTGTTGTATAAAATATGTAAGTAGAGAAAGTGCACAGCCTTGAAGTTAAGTAGCTTACTCAACAAGAAATTGGGTTTTCCCTGGATAAACCATGATGCTAGAAACCAAAACAAGGATTATAAGACCGGCCAATTCTGTTTTATGTTTATTTACTAATATTTATGTTCCAATAAGTCAAAAGTCACCTTCTACCTCAAAGAGAGCTGAACACCCAGTGAGCCCTAGATCAATTTATTTGAATCACGGAGAACATTCACCACTGCCACGTCCACATCTGGGGTTAGTACTTGTATGGCTGACTAACTGCCTGTTGCTTCCACTTCACTCCCTCAGATTGGCTCCTTAAAACATCTCTGTTCCTCAATCTGTAACAGGCTATAATTTCCCTCTACTCTGACAAACATCTTCACATTCAGTGATGGGGAAGACATTTCAGAGGTCAATCTAAAGACCAAGCCCCGCTGAGTGAAATGAATGTCAGGATCACGTTGTTATTAAATTATCCCTCTTCTTCAGAAGTGCAGACTTCCTTCATGTCTACCTTCCAACTAAGTCAGAAATGCTCTTTCTTATTTTTTCTCTGCTCTGTAACTTTCTAAATTTGACCCTTTTAAAAATATACATGCAAGTCACCACATTGTAATTATGAAAGAATTAGGAACACATTCTCTAAGGAATACAGTGAGAAAAAATTCTCCGTATATGCCGATTTTACATTCTCCTTTCTGGCCAAAGGTTAAATGACAAAACATGTTATTTGCCATGCTGAATTTAGAGTTGAAAAAGAAATTAAATGAAATACCTGGGGAGAGTAAAATGTAATGGTAAAACAAAGGCTGTGAAATCTGACAGACCAGATCTAAGCTCTACTACTTTTAATTTGGTGACTTTGAGTAAGTCAGCTGAAGCCCTCTTGGGCCTTAATTTCTACTATACATAAAATAGTAAAATATTGCTTACTTTCCAAGGCTGCTGTGAATTTTAAACTGTGCTAATCACCTAACAGTGCAGATGTCACAGCAGGTATTCAAAAACTGGTAGCTACAATTATTTTTTAGATCCGTTTTACTTCTCATTTATGTCACTCAACAACTCTTAAATGTAACTAACTTATTCTGCGGTAAATTGGAAGATGGTATGTTTGCTATTTATAATCAAAACTGCTTTCTGGAGAAGGTTAATTTGGGTAAGCAAAAGGCCCTTTTGTCTGAACGTTTCAGTAGTTTGGGTGTGCAAATTTCGGAGGAATCAATATTGAAAGACGAATTAGACATTTTTTGGAGTTTGGGGACAAAAGGAGGAAAAGGAGTGGGAGAGGGGATCTTGAAAGACAAAAGCAGGAAAGAAGCTAACACCGGATGAGACCAGAAACGTCACCATGTTGAGGCTGTGGAAGAGTGTTTTAAGGTAGAAGATGCCAATTGCTGTTGCTTCAACATGTTTGCATTACTGCAACAGAAAATCTCTCCTCTATCTTCCTTCCAAATCTTCCGCAAGTTCCCTAAAGCCATAACTGTTTTGCATGAGTACGTTTTGTGTTGAACAAAACCTACTCATGGGTTTTGTTTGTATGAATTTATGTGTGTATGACAGAAATAGCTTTTGAGAAACAGAAGCCTGGAGCCAGAGGAGATCTGAGATCATAAGCAAAATTAAAAAGTTAGGCAATTCCAGTGTTGGCAAGAATGTGAAGTGGAGGCCACTCATCCCCACTGCTTGGATATGAAATGATCCAGCCATTTTGGATACTTTACCTAGTAAAATTTAATGCATACATATCCTACAAGGCAGCAATTTTAGATCCAGGTGTGTGCCCTGGAGAAGCTCTAGTTCATTTGTATGGGATTCAGGCAGAAGAACGTTCAAGGCATTTTCATAAGAAAAAATTGGGAACAGCAATAAAAATGACACCTGCAACAGCATGAGCAAATCTCAAAACCATAACTTTTAGGGAAAAAAGTAACAGAAGGATAGATATGATTCTATTTATAAATGAAAAAAAATAGGCGAAACTAAATCACAAATCTCTATTTAGGGACAAAGACATATAAAAAACAAACATTACAGAAAAAAAACAAGGATATAATTAATACAAAATATAGGATAGTGGTTGCCTGAGGAGCAAGAGGGATGTGATCAGAGAGGGGCGCAGAGGGACCTTTAAGTCACTGGCAATATTCTGTTTCTTAAGGCAGATTGTGGGCAGAAAAGGTCAGTTTTTTTTAAATCACACATATATGTTATCCAGGCTCTTTTGTATAAATAGTTCACGATTTTAAAATAAAAGCATTTTAAGTGAGCTGACACTAGCAGTGTCAAGAGACTATCATTACCAGTCACAGACAGGGCCTTAAGTTTTAATGCCTGTACAGGCACAGATAATAAGGTCTTGGGCCCACATAGAACATGAAGGTATAAGGATATGTCAGCTTGAATGACACATGTTAAAGTATCATCGCCCTGTACCCCAAAGAAAAACACTGAGTATACTTTTTAAGTTGACATAAAACATTTACAAAAAACGACCACATATTAGACCATAAGTAAATTCTCAACAAATACCTAAAAGTCAATATCTTATAAATAATGCTCTCTGACAATTCCAGATTAGAAATCAATAACATCGTAAGTACCTGGAATGTATAGGAGAGGACATTTCCACTCAGCCGGTAGAAGTCTCTTCCATCCCCGCTAAACACCTTTCGACACTGACCACCAAAACTTTTGGTGTTGATGACTCTGTTCCTAAACTGGCCAGTGAGTGCATTGTAACTGTTAAAAGGAGGTGGAGGAGGAAACAAAAGGCAATTAAAAACCAGAAACAGCACTTGCTAGGAAAAAAAAAGTTGTTAGAGAACTCTAGAAATTCTTAAAATGCATTACAGTTAAACACTTCTTTGAGAGAGCTCAAATAAAGAGCACAGCATCCTAATGCATACCATACATTATCCAGCTTCCCCTGCTTAGTATAATCACTAAAACCAACAGCTGGGAAAAGCCAGCATCCTTTCAAAGAACATATTTGGGAAACACATGGCTCTTTTGTATCTATGGCAACAGCTGGTTTTGAATTGAATCTATAGATAAAACCAATACTTAAGGTTACTCTTGAGGAGAGACAGCACTCTATAATAAACTTTAACTAATTATCTCTGAGCTTGCTAAATGGTATACATTTTAAAGTAATTTTAACCTATTTCTCTGTTAATAAATTTTAAAATATTACAGATAAATTACTTCTTTCATTCTAAAGCAGGTTATTTTTAAGTCTTAAAACCTTAATAACTCATATGACATTTAAAACTTCCCCAGAATTCTCTTTGATAAGGTAAACACAGTATTTTCCAACCTTCACTTGTAAGTGAAGTTTTTTGGCTAGTTTAGGCAGTTGCTGTTCAGCCTGTGTAAACACATTTGTTTCTCTCTCTATTCTCATCCTGTTATCATTCTATTGTTTCTTCATTCTCTCGACTAGCACCCACATTACTGAACCAGTCTTCTCTCTCTCTCTCTCTCTCTTTCTCTCCCCGCACCCCCCGCCCTGCCTTCCTCCTTTCAAACACCCATGAAGTGACCAACTGTCCAGGTTTCCTTGAGACTAAGGGGTTTCTCTGGATTCGAATTTCAGTGCTAAAACCAGGACCATCCTACGACAAGGGGTCATTCTACATCTCACCGCATGTATCTACAGGTATACATGTGTGAACAAAAATACTGTCTCAGGATGGGGCAAAGAGCTCTGAGCCAATGAAAAGTCTTGCCTATTAGGAGACTTGTTCTTAGACATACCAAGCCATAAAATAAAACAAAGTTTAAAATTACAATTCATTGATGTACTCAGGAGGCTGCCCAGCACCTTACCCATTTCCAGTAAGTTCTATGTTAGGAGGAGGCTTATCGATATCACAGGAAGGTCTCCTTTCTGAGTCCTCACATCTGTCTTCATCAGCACCATCTTCTTCACAGTCAGAATCCCCATTGCAAACCAACAATTTGCTGATGCACTGACCTGAACACAAGAAAAACCCACGTGGCAACGTAAAAGAGGGATGAAGAGAAACACTATCCAGAACCAAAAAACTTTTTCTGCCACCAGCAGCACTGCATTGATACTTCAATCTAAATGGAAGATAAATCCCAGAGTGTCTAGGAAAGGACTAGTGATTATTTTGTCTCCAATTTGTGACACACAGAAATGATTCTTAACTCGGTCAGACACAAAATTGAAAACAGGATCTGAATTCAGATGTTCAGGATCTCACCCATAATCAAGCAGCTTGTCTAAATTATACAATTCCAACTACTGAGAAGATCGATTGACTTCCTGCCCTTCAACTTTCAATTCTTTTCTGTCATTCTAAGATGACCAAGTTGAGCTTTTCTTGGCAATTTGCATTTGTAATCTTTAAGGGCAGGAGAATTTTATCAAAAGGTTAAAATTCAATCTTTCTTTACCACAATAGGGGCCGGGATACAAATATGAATAAAAATGGCCTTTGCCAGACTTTTCATATGCTTTACAATCTAACAGGAAATACTATAAAGACATAGATCCTAATTGTTGTAATAGACATAAACATAGAGTACCAAGGAAGCACGGGAGGGTACCTGATAATCTAGTTCCTGCCTATCTCCCTGGCATCATCTCCAGCCATTCTCCTACTAGCTTCCCATACCCTAGTCATACTGGACTGCCTGCATGAATTAAAGGTCACATTTTCTGTCAACTCCAATGATCTTGCACTTACAGTTAGTTCTCTCTGCCTAGAAGAGTTTCTCTAACTATTCTTACTTGTCCTACAAGAATCAAATTAAACATTATCTCCTCCTGAAAGCCATCCCTACCTCACAGGCTCTGCTGCATGTTCTTCCTCTATGTCCTCATAGGATGCTTAGTGCACAACTGTCCCTGTAGGACACACACACTGCTATACTGTCACTCAGTCCAATGAAGCAAACATTTGTGAAAATGTATTATGTACCAGAGACTCCAGAAGCCAACATGAAAGAAATATAATTAATATCTTCAAGGAGTTCACAGTTCACCAAGAGAGACATTCAGGCCAACAAATAATCCAAATTACAGATGGTACAATATGCATAAGGAACACATGGACGTGATTCGTTAATTACTGCTCTCAGTTAGGGATTTAGGGAAGGTTTCCTGAAGGAGTTGTTACCTAATTTGGATTTTGGAAAGTAAAATAAGTGTTTGACAGGTATCATTGAGGAGCCCTTCTAACTCAGGGATTATTTATGTACTATTCTGCCCATAAAACTTTAATATTTGTGAGGGAAGAGGCATGTGTTTCACATGTATATACCACCCTTACCACTATTTGAAACATAAGAAGAATCATAAGTGTTTACTAAATTTTATTATATTAATCTGACTACACAAATGCAACATAGAGAATTGGTGAAATCATATTCAATGCCAAAACTATGTTTCAGTCACCCTATCTGTAAGAGAGAACTGTATTGTTCCTTAATCAGCTCATTAGTGTTGCTTTTCTTGTAAACGTAATAATTTAGTCAGTAACATTGTTTTTGTCTAATCTCAATATATGTACAAGACTCACTCTGCATCTTCACCCAAAATACAACCTGCTTAAATTATTATGGGTGCCTATTTGAGTCTACCTAAATTATTTTGGGTGCCAAAGTTACTGCCTAAATTATTTTGAGTACCTATTTGGGTCTGTCAGTAGCCAGAGTTCCATTCAAAGAGACTAAAAGCATTCCCATGTTTATTACCAGATACCTCCCCTTGCATTTCAAAGAATGATAGCTGAATGTGTGATTAACTTACCAACAAAAATCCTGGTGATATTTGGGGGGAATTAATTTTAGGCCAATATAAATTCAGTAAAACTTAACAAATGTATAACGAGCAAGTTAATCAAATAACATTTGAATTTACAATCTTCATGCTGAGCCTATGGAAAACAAATTACCTGAAAAACACCTGAAACGCTCTCCACATCCCTCCTCTGTTGGACATCCTCTTGTAGGTTTACAGGACTGTGTTTCAAAAGCACTTCCAATACAAGGCTGGCCCCCATACTGTGCATACACAGCAACTGACCGCCTGCGAGTCTAAACACAAAGCAGGCAGTGGTTTGTTTTGTTTTGTTTTGTTTTTTCCAAAGAACTCTCCAGTTTCCTTTATCTGAGTAATAAAATCTGAGAGAACGTAACACAATTAGATGAACAATGTCCAGAAAATTGTTCTGGTGTTCTACAGAAATAAAACCTAAAAATCAATGAATCCACAGACCTACTTGTCCTTGAGTTCAGCGACATTTCAGCGATTATTTATAAAGAGCTCCCAGGCATATATTGACTTTCAGGATTAAATGCAAAAAAAAAAAAAAAAATCGTTTTTAGTGATTGTAAGAAAGTAACCTGATTGCAGTGAGCCGAGATCACACCACTGCACTCTAGCCTGGGTGACAGAGTAAGACACTGTCTTAAAAAAAAAAAAGAAGGGAAAATAAAAGAAACAAGAAAGTAACCTGAGTCAAGCTTAGAGGGTAGACACATAAGCAAATAGATTATAGCATAGAATGATCCATATATTTGCCGAAGCTGTGTTCCAAGAGCTCATTAGAGAGTGAAATGACTTTTTCTAGAGAGTGGATAAGGGTACTGGGAAGAGGGCTAAGATGAAGCAGAGTTAGAGTTAGGGAAGCCTTCAGAAAAGTGATGGCAATTCCTTTGAGCTCAACTGTAAGCCTTCTTCAGGAAGGAAGGCAAGGAAAAACAATTCAAAGAGAAATATATGAATATGGAGAACAAATTTACAAAACAGAAGCCTAAATAATCCAAGGGTGAAGCTACATTTACAAAGGAATGCATAAAATACAAGCCTCTTGAGGGGAAAGAATATAGGAAAGCTGAAGAAATTATCAAACTAAATGAGAAGTTTACAACTAATTTGTCCTAAAATTGATTAAATCCTCATTCACTACAAAGACATGTATCCTAACATTTAAATAAAAAGAAAGATCTACCACTGGCAATCAGTGAGCATCTTCCAGGCCTCTTCCTTTACTCACCTCTTCTCCATTAAAAAACAAAACATAAAACAGAACCAAAACTGAGCGTCCTGAGGATTTAAACCTTGAGTGAAGATCAACAGGGAAGAAATGTTGTACATATCAATGTCGAACTTATTCATCCATCCTAAGTTGGGTTAGAAGTGGGAATTCTTTGGTATGAGGGGTCGCAGTGGCGTAAGTTGAACTCTGAGCATATTCGCACCAGCCAGAGCCTGGCTCTGGCGCCTTGCATCATGTTTAAGCAAAGGAGCCACAGAGGAATATGAGTGGGGAATGGAACTCGGTAAGGTTTCTTGATACTGTTTTTAGTCTCTTTGTAAGGGATGCAGATGCTGCTCGTGTGTTGCTTATCAGTGTCCTTTGGTGACGTTCCAGAGCACAGGTGTTTGCATAAGGAGTATTTTTCGTCTTTGTAAGTGATGAAGACACCGCGCACGAGTGGCTTATCAGTGGTGTCCTTTTGCGAAGTTCCAGAGCACAGATGGCGTTGTTTGCATGGGGAGTGTTTTTCTTCTTCATATTACCAGGGAGCCCTTGATGGCAGCCACTCTCCAAGGTCTTATTCTCCCCTGTCAAAGTCTGACCTTACAATCCCTTTTTCATTTTCACTTGTCTCTTTCTGAATGAAAATTTTGTTTTTATAAGCTAGGATGTATCCATTGCATGATGACCTTCACTCAAAGAAAAAAATTGCTTGTATAAAAAAAATACCCTCTCTCTACTTCTATTTAGTGTTCTTCTTTTTAAATGATAAAAATATTTAACGTGCTTGATGTTTCTTTGAACTTTGCCTGTTATTCATGTACCTATTTGCCTGTAATCAGAGCTGTTATTTATTATACTTGCTAGAAGCCAAATTCTTTGTTTATGTAATTTGTTTTGAAAATACCACTCATGTAGGTACTAAATAAATGTCTGATAAAAATGATGATAATGATGGTACTTCCAAATAAAAATTATCTTCTATAGTACGATTCTGTTATTTTAATAATTAAAAGTGATGTTTAAATATATATTTTTATCCAAACTGGACTATTTCTAAAATATTTAATTCTTAAAATGTTCAGAAACTTTAAGACAAACATTTTATTTCTAGGACCATCCTCAGAAAATTATGAGAAAAGAGGACAGATCTCTACATTCAAAAATGTTTATTAAAGTTTTCTTTATAACAAAAATGGAGACAACTTAAATATCAAACAATAGAAAAGTAGAAAAATAAGGGTATATTCATATCATAAAACATAATACTGCTGTTATAAGTTATTTTGCTGATAACAAATGTTGGATTAAAATAGTAGAATACAAAACTATGATAAAATAATCTCCTTTTAAATTATAAGTACACGTGGAGATAAGGCAGACAGAACTGAAAGAATGAATACCAAATGCTGTTATATAATTTCTTTCTTCTAAATGGTAGAATTATGAGTAATGTTTATTTCTTTATAACGTCCCGTATTTTCTCCAATGAACATTTTATAATAAGGAATAAAAACAGACATTTTTAGAAGCATTTTATAATATCTAGATGAAGGTCAACACTGCATTTGTATTACTTAGCAATTAAACTTTAAAACATTTTGCAAAATGTTTTTTCATGGTTGTTCACTATTTGTGAAGTAAAATCAAGCAGCCATCTTGCTATTTGCTTGTGTTAGTTTGAGATGAGAAGAAAAGTTGAACTCGATGAATGTAAAACATTTTAAATCAGCAAAAAAATTGGTTCTATGTTATTCCTATTTCTCTCATAGTTAAAAAGTTTGCCTTGAACTTTCAGCCTATACACATTTCTAGCTCCAAGATAAGATCTAGAAAAGTCCTTCAAGAAGAATGACTATACAAATTACTTTATTACAATATTATTAAACAATTCATACTTTTCTCCCCTCAAAATTACTAATATAGTTTTCAAAAAACATTGACACTATTTAATGAACATTCAAAAGTTAATGCCATTTTGGCCATGCCTAAGTATTTCTGCATGTAAATAATCAAATACAAAGTTTTGCATGGTCCTACCTGAGTCTTGGTACAGCCATTGCATTCTGACCAAGGGGCATACGATTCCCACTGGCAGTTCACTGGAGAGGAGGCACTGCCACAGTGTTAAGTTGTCCAGCATAAAGCAGGCAGAAAGATACACAAGGAAACAGGAAGAATAGTGAAAACAGTCAAAAATAGTTAAATGTTACCACAAATATTTTTTTCTAAGAGACACTAAAAATATCCTAAAATATATAAAAATGGAGGGAGCCCCACTTTCTTAGGGATTAACACTTATTAAACATCTATTATGCTGGGCACGGTGGCTCACGCCTGTAATCCTAGCACTTTAGGAGGCTCAGGTGGGCAGATCACCTGAGGTTAAGAGTTCAAGACCAGCCTGGCCCACATGGTGAAACTCCTTCTTTATTAAAAATACAAAAAAATTTGCCAGGCATGGTGATGTGTGCCTGTAATCTTAGCTACCTGAAAGGTTGAGGCAGGAGAATTGCTGGAACCCGAAAGGCAGAGGCTGCAGTGTGCCAAGATTGTGCCACTGCACTACAGCCTGGGCAAAAAAGGGTTCTGTCTCAAAGGAAAAAAAATCTATTATGTACTAGGTTCTGAAGACACTAAAGTTGTAAAGAGGTAAGTCACTGGCCAGGCGTAGTGGCTCACACCTCTAATCCCAGCACTTTGGGAGGCAGAGGCATGCAGATCGCTTGAGGTCAGGAGTTTGAGACCAGCCTGGTCATCATGGTGAAACCCCATCTCTACTAAAAATACAAAAATTAGCTGGATGTGGTGGCACACCCTTGTAATCCCAGCTACTTGGGAGACAGGAGTATTGCTTGAACCTGGTAGGCGGAGGTTGCATTGCACTAAGATTGCACCACTGTACTCTAGCCTGGTCAACAAAGCAGGACTCCATCTCAAAAAAAAAAAAAGAGAGAGAGAGAGAGAGAGGTCATTGACTATAGATAGAAGGAAGAACAGAGACACAGGTGGGTAAAAATATAATCATAAGACAATATATCTCATTTGTTGGATTTCATAACAGAAATGCATTCAATATGATGTGTTATGGGGATATAGATAAGAGAGATTTCTGAGTTGGGAGGGTAGGTAAAAACATATAGGAAGAAGGTTTGATGGCCTTTAAAGGGATTCTGAATGCTAAGTTGAAGAGTTATCTAGAAACACTTAACTGAGAGACCAGAAACTATAATAAGACCCGATGAGAAGTGGAAAACTAAAAATCGGCAGAGGCTGAATGCACAGGAATTTATTTAAATGCACCCTGTTCATTTTGGCCATTTTTCAAGCACCCAACCATGGAGGGCAATTTGAGCTTAAACAGCTCCACTAAAATAAAGTGGAGGTGAAAATGGAGAGCTGACTCATACAATGCTCACATTCTGGCCGAGTCGTATGGAAAAGACTACCTGGGTCAGCTTTAAGAGATTAAGGAAGTCTTGCCTAAAATGATGCTCTACAAAGGATAAAAGAGCTGGTATTCCTGATTTCTGGATTCCCAGCACATTTCTGGGAGATACCTTGAGTCAAGATGGTTCTTTTGTGTCCTAAGAGGGTCAGGTTACTCTGAAAGTAACAACTCTCATTCTGTATCCTGTGCCTCGGCTGCTTTTACCAGGTCAATCTTGTCAACGTGTCGTTTTTGTATGGTACCAGTGATCAAAACACCTGGTTATTTTTGACCCTTGAACAATCTGAACTTACTGTTATTTTTCTAGTCTCTGTCCTGGGGAAAGGCAGAGGGCTTCCCAAAACATGGAGGCTTAAAAGAGGAGTATGCTTGATCTTCCCACTGTGCTCCCACATGACCCTGAGCTTCTTTCAGAGTTCTTAGCACATTTGTATTGCAATGAACTGGCCCAAGATACAAATCACCCAGCATGCTCCCTGTGCCTTCTTGCTCCTTGTGGTAAACCCAGTACCTAGCACAGCCCCTGACACATTTTCTGATAGTTCCATAAAGTGAACTGATCTGGCTCTGTCTTGTCAATCTGACACAGTGAGAGCATAACAAAGCTTAGATAAATGATGCTGGCTTTTTTTCCAGGCCTCAAGAACCAATAAAGCTATTTTCTTAAAAAACTCTCAACCTTTAAAATCCAGAGGATATTTCCCAAGGATTACATTTAAAGACCAAATACTGCTCTAAGATATGTAAGTCCACTGTGATTATCTGCATTACAGATAAAATCACAGCACTTGAACAAAAAACTTATGCTTTTAGTCTTCAATTTTACAGGGGAAAAAAGTAAAAAAGAATAATAAGAAAATATTTTTGTTATCATTGTCTTTTCTAAAAATACGAAAAGAGAAAACATGTTGGAGGGATACACAGACTCAAACTGCAATGACAAAATTAGACTAAACTAAAAAATTTCTCAAACACTTTTTTAATATAATGATTTTTATACACAACAGGAAAAGTCCTCACCTTGAAAAAATTTGGAACTCTCCTGTAAATCCCACCAAAATGAGTAAGCTTATTGCCTTGAGAAGAAAAACAATAAAGCATTATTTTAACATACATTTCTTTTTATAACTATAAATTGACGATTTATAATTGTATAAATTTATGGGGTACAAAGTGATATTATGATTTCTAAATACAATATGAAATAATTTAATCAAGCCGGTTAACATATCTATCATTTAAAATACTTAACATTTTTGTGGCAAAGATATTTTAAATTTACTCTTGGCAATTTTGAAATGTACGATACCTCATACTAACTATGTTCATCACACTGTACAATAGAACTCAAAATATATTTCTTTTTTTTTTGACAAAAAGCATGCTTGTTTATTGTAGAAAAATAAGAAAGTACAGATGAACAAAAAAGAGTATAAAAATGAAAATTACATCTATTGCAATAATCCAAGGATAAATACTGTTAATTTTGGTGTACCTTTTCTTTTTTTTTTATATTGCATTTTAGGTTTTGGGTACATGTGCAGAACATGCAAGATAGTTGCATAGGTACACACTTGGCACTGTGAATTACCGCCTTCCTCCCCTTCACCCACATCTGGCATTTCTCCCCATGCTATCCCTCCCCAACGCCCCCCGCTGTCCCTCCCCTATTCCCCCCAATAGACCCAAGTGTGTAGTGCTCCCCTCCCCGTGTCCATGTGTTCTCATTGTTCATCACCCACCTATGAGTGAGAATATGCGGTGTTTCATTTTCTGTTCTTGTGTCAGTTTGCTGAGAATGATGTTCTCCAGATTCATCCATGTCCCTACAAATGACACGAACTCATCATTTTTGATTGCTGCGTAATATTCCATGGTGTATATGTGCCACATTTTCCCAGTCCAGTCTATCATCGATGGGCATTTGGTTTGGTTCCAGGTCTTTGCTATTGTAAACAGTGCTGCAATGAACATTCGTGTGCATGTGTCCTTATAGTAGAACAATTTATAGTCCTTTGGATATATACCCAGTAATGGGATTGCTGGGTCAAATGGAATTTCTATTCCTAGGTCCTTGAGGAATCGCCGCACTGTCTTCCACAATGGTTGAACTAATTTACACTCCCACCAGCAGTGTAAAAGTGTTCCTATTTCTCCACATCTTCTCCAGCATCTGCTGTCTCCAGATTTTTTAATGATCGCCATTCTAACTGGCATGAGATGGTATCTCAATGTGGTTTTGATTTGCATTTCTCTAATGGCCAGAGATGATGAGCATTTTTTCATGTTTGTTGGCCTCATGTATGTCTTCTTTTGTAAAGTGTCTGTTTATATCCTTTGCCCATTTTTGAATGGGCTTGTTTTTTTCTTGTAAATCTGTTTGATATCTGTGGATATCAGCCCTTTGTCAGATGGGTAAACTGCAAAAATTTTTTCCCATTCTGTTGGTTGCCAGTTCACTCTAATGACTGTTTCTTTTGCTGTGCAGAAGCTGTGGAGTTTCATTAGGTCCCATTTGTCTATTTTGGCTTTTGTTGCCAATGTTTTTGGTGTTTTGGTCATGAAGTCCTTGCCTACTCCTATGTCCTGAATGGTTTTGCCTAGATTTTCTTTTAGGGTTTTTATGGTGCCAGGTCTTATGTTTAAGTCTTTAACCCATCTGGAGTTAATTTTAGTGTAAGGTGTCAGAAAGGGGTCCAGTTTCTGCTTTCTGCACATGGCTAGCCAGTTTTCCCAACACCATTTATTAAACAGGGAATCCTTTCCCCATTGCTTGTTTTTGTCAGGTTTATCAAAGATTGTATGGTTGTAGATATGTTGTGTTGCCTCTGATGCCTCTGTTCTGTTCCATTGGTCTATATCTCTGTTTTGGTACCAATACCATGCTGTTTTGATTACTGTAGCCTTGTAGTATAGTTTGAAGTCCAGTAGTGTGATGCCCCCCGCTGTGTTCTTTTTGCTTAGAATTGACTTGGCTATGTGGGCTCTCTTTTGGTTCCATATGAAGTTTAAGGTGGTTTTTTCCAGTTCTGTGAAGAAGGTCATTGGTAGCTTGATGGGGATAGCATTGAATCTGTAAATTACTTTGGGCAGTATGGCCATTTTCACAGTATTGATTCTTCCTAACCATGAACATGGAATGTTACTCCATCTGTTTGTGTCCTCTCTTATTTCATTGAGCAGTGGTTTGTAGTTCTCCTTGAAGAGGTCCTTTACGTTCCTTGTGAGTTGTATTCTTAGGTATTTTATTCTCTTTGTAGCAATTATGAATGGCAGTAAAAATATGGAACACTTCATGAATTTGCATGTCATCCTTGTGCAGGGGCCATGCTAATCTTCTCTTTATCATTCCAATTTTAGTATATGTGCTGCCAAAGGGAGCACCTCAAAATATATTTCTGCTAACTGAGATTGTGTACCCTTTGATGTTTATCTCCCTATTAACCCAGTCTCTGTAACCACCATTCTACTCTGCTTCTATGAGTTCAATTGTTATACATCTTGCATTTAATGAGAACATGTGCTATTTGTCTTTCTGTGCCTGGCTTATAAACTTAATGTTTTCCTGTTCCATCTATGTTGTCATAAATAACAGAATTTCCTCCTTTGTAAGGCTAATTACTATTCCTTTGTGTACACACACCACATTTTCTTTCTCCAATTGTCCAATAATGGACAATCAGGTTGATTCTAAAACTTGACTATTGTGTATAGTGCTGTAATGAACATTTGCTTTTGTAAATACCAAAAAGTAGGATTGCTAGATCATATGATAATTTTTTTATATTTTCTGAGAAACCTCCATGCAGTTTTCCATAATGGGTGTACTAATTTACATTCCTACCAGTGTACAAGAGTACAAGAATTCCCATTTTCCACATCCATACCAGCACTTGTTACCTTTTGTCTTTTTGATAACATCCATTCTGACAGGTGGCTCAGTGTAACACAATGTAACTTTAATTTGCATTTCTCTAATAATTAGCAATGTTGAGCATATTTTTTACATATCTGTTGGCCATTTATGGGTCTTCTCTTCAGAAATGTTTACTCCAGTTTCTTGCCCATTTTTTATTTTTACTTTACTTCCATCTCCCTTTCCTGGTACTTTGTCAATTTTGTTTTCTTGCTATTGAGTTGTTTGAGCTTCATATATAGTTTTGATATTAGCCCCTTATTGGATGTATGTCTTACAAATATTTTCTCCCAATCTGTAGGTGTCTCTGCAAACATAATTGTCTCCTTTGGCATGTAGTTTTTTAGTTTGTTGTAATCTATTTTTGCATTTGTAGCCTGCACTTTTGGGGTCAGATCCAAAAAAATCACTGCCTAGAACAATACAATTTTTCCCTTATATTTTTTTCAAGTAATTTTACAGTTTCTGGTCTTATGTGTAAGGCTTTATCCCATTTTGAGTATACTTTTATATGTGATATGAGATAAGGGTCCAATTTAATTATTTTGCATATGGATATCCAGTTTTCCCAATACCACTTATTAAAGAGACTATCCTTTCCCCATTGTGTATTCTTGGAAACTTTGTAAAAACAATCAATTGACCATATATGTAGGGTGCATTTCTGGGGTCTCTATTCTGTTCCACTGGGTCTATTCTGTTCCAATGGGTCTATTGTTTTGCCAGAATCATGATGTTTTAATTACTATAGCTTTGTAGTATAGTTTAAAATTAAGCAAAGTAATACTTCCAGCTTCATTCTTTTTGCCCATGACTACTTTAGCTATTTGGGGTTTTATGTGATTCCATATGATCTTTAAGATATTTTTCTATTTCTTTTAAAAATTATATTAGAATTTTGATAAATATTGCACTAAAACTCTAGATCAGTTTGGGTAGTATGGACATTTTAGCAATATTTTCTTCCAATCCATGAACAAGGGATATCTTTCCATTTGTTAATGTCTTCCATTTCTTTCATCAATGTTTCATAATTTGCTATGTATAAGACTTTAACTTTCTTGGTTAGCTTTATTCCTAAATTTTTTTTGTAGTTATTGAAAATGGGATTGTTTTCTTAATTTCTTTCTCACATAGTTTGTTGTTAGTGTATAGAAATGTACTTTTTAGTGTTTATTTTATAGTCTACAAATTTTACTGTATTCATTTATTAGTTCTAGTCTGTAGGGTTTTCTATGTATAAGATTGTGTTACCAGCAAACAGACATTTTCACATTCTCCTTTTTTATTTTGATGCTGTTTATTTCTTTTTCTTGCCTGATTGCTCTGGCAAGAATTTCCAATACTATGTTAAATAAAAGTGGCAAAAGTGGGTATCTTTGTCTTGTTGCAGAGCTTAAATGAAAGGCTTTCAATTTGTCACTGTTGGGTATAATGTTAGCTGTGGGGTTCTCATATATGGCCTTTATTATGTCAAGATACATTTCTTCTGTACCTAACTTGGTGAGAGTCTTTTTCATGAAATGTTGTTGAATTTTGTCGAATGTTTTTTCTGCATCTAATTAGATGATTATATAATTTTGTCATTCATTTTGTTAATGTCATAAAACATATTTATTAATTTGTGTATGTTGAACCATCCTTGCATTTCAGGAATAAATCCCATTTAATCATGGTAGATGATCGTTTTAATGTATTGTTTAGTTTGCTACTATTTTGTTGAGATTTTTGTATCTGTGTTCACTATGTTCATCAAGAATACTGGCATGTAATTTTCTTTTTTTTGTAATGTGCTTCTTTGGCTTTGGTATCAGGATAACACTGGCCTTTTAAAAAGAATCCAAAAGTATTCCCTCATTTTCAGTTTTTTGGAAGAGCTTCAGAAGGATTAGTATTAGCTCTATTTTCAATGTTTGGGCTATCTCTTGCACCCACCCTTGCCACGTGACATGTCTGCTCCCACTTTGCCTTCCGCTATGAGTAAAAGCTCCCTGCAGGCTTCACCAGAAACTGAGCAAATGTTGGTGCCATGCATGTACAGTCTACAGCACCATAACCTGATTAAAATTCTTTTCTTTATAAATTGCCCAGCCTCACATAGTTCTCTATAGCAACAGAAATAACAGGCTAACACAGAAAATTGGTACTGAGAATTGGGGC